TGAAAACTTTTGCATGCTTTATTGATAGTAATTACAGTTGTATCAGTTTTCCTAATGTCTTCTATTATTTTGGTACCTACACCCACCTCCTTTTTCATCTTAGAAACAATTAGTACAGTTACTTACCAGAAGAAATCATTCTATCTGAAGTTATTCATACTGCTTTTAGCTTTTCCTTTATTTTTCAAAACAAATCAATTAAAATAATTTTACTTCTGATATTAGTTGGTATGTTTTTAATTAACATTTTGCCTGAATAATGGACACAAAACAAGAACGGAGAGGGGAGAAATAGAGGGAGGAAACAAATTAGATTTTATGTTTTAAAATCAAGTATTATTAGATCAAGGCTGTTTTAGATAGCGTTTTCAGATAGCTGATATATTGTGAAAATTATCAAAAATGTCTTGATAAACAGAACAGAATATATTAGGTGCGTTAGCAAACATTGTATAAAATTATAATCGCCAAAACTGGAAATTAATACTTAACTGTGAAAAAGAATTCCAATTCAAAAGCTCCAAAATTTGTTTCTGCATTTCTTTTTTAAATCTTTAATATGATAAAATGGTATAAATAAGAAAATATCAAAATATCAAAGGTACATAATCATTTGAATAAAATTTAAAAAAGAAATTTATAGATTCTGCAGTCTGTTTGTAACTACAAAATTTCAGTCAGTATTATTATTATCATTATTATTTTGGGTGTAGGTAGCAATCTGCACAAGAAATTGAGTTAAAAACATATTTCATGCATCATATTATTTAGTGTTAGAAACCTATTTTACATTGCATGCTAATGATATAAATTTAGTACTTTTTGTTTAAATATCACTAAGATAAAATTGCTTTTTAAATGATTTGCTTTAAGCTGATGAACTTTATATGCTTTACACTAGAAGGCCTTCAAACCGGGGCCCGCGGGTCACAAGTGGCCTGCTGGAGGCATTTTAGAGGCCCCACATTTGAAATTAAAGAAGTTTAAGAAATTTTGATTTCAAGATAAATTACCTTTTTGTCGAAAAAAAACTTTTATTCCCCTCTTATTCACAATATTCAAAACATTTTATTGACACGCCTGATATTACTTGAGATAAAATTTTCTCAAAACTACGAAATTTTCAGATATTTCACTTTATCTTATGTAATATAAAAAATAAAACATTTGACTACGCATAAAATCTCAATTCAATAAAAAGGCTAGATTCTTATCTCTAACAGGTTTTGCAACAGATGTCAATCTTTCATCAATACTTTGCCAAAGGTAACCTCAAGGTTACCTCAGCTGTGCCGCTCAATGAAACCTCAGCCTAGCTTAAAGTGTTGCATGAGTTTAGTGATGAAAAATGTTTGAGAGACTGAATTTCTTGTCGATAGGTCATCTCAATGGTTTGAACTACTGCTTACTGGGAAAAGATCTACTTGTTCATTATCTTTATTACTTTGTGTAAGCTTTTGAGAAAAATTAATTCTGTGGAAAAGTCAGTTGCTAAATAAGACTTCCACTCACTTTCCAAAATTGATGGAATGTATGAAGAAACTCTACAACATGGAATTCAAATAATTATGTACAATGGCATTTCAAATTTAAAAGAGGAATTCAAAAGCAGATTTTTCGATTTTCGTAAAAATGAAATTTTTTTAAGAAAGTTCTTGCCATTTTCAGTAGACGTTGGAAGTGTTCCACCTGAACTTCAGAATTTATAGATTTACAGTGTGACTCTGCAGTAAAATGAAAGTTTCTTGAAAATCTTTCATTAATTGATTTGTATTCGAAGTACGTGACCGAACACAAGTAGCCAGGAATTCATAAACATGCATTCTTCATGTCTTCTATCTTTGGCTGTACCTACATATGTGAACGGCTTTTAAGTAAAATGAAAATGCTAAAATCAAAAACAAGAACATGGCTGACACACAGGAAACTTTACGAATTGCAATAACACAGATTAAACAGGATATTAAAGCTTTAATCAAGCAAAAACAATGTCAAATTTCACATTAAAACTAAAGTAATTACCATCTCCCACTGGTAATGTAAGTTTTCTTCTTTTTTTATTGTAAATGCATTTGTAATCATTCTTACAATCTTCTTTATACTTTTTCATAGTTAAAAAAGTTGCAAAACATTTTAATTAATTCTATTTACTTTTTGGACCTATGTATATGTATAAAATTTGTAATACTATCTCTTCGCTAGAATCAAGTGTAGTCGGAAAACAACCCTTTTAAAAAAAAAAAAAAAAAAAAAAAAAAAAAAAAAAAAAGCTCAGAGATGTGGAGGGGGTGTTATGGATAGTTTAATATTGGGTTTGATTTCTAATAAAATAATAAAATGCTTATAAAATAAATAGTTTACCTTGCATATAATATTAAATACAGGTCAAACTTTCCTAGCTTGAACTTATATTCAGTGCCTTGTTAGTTTAATATAAAGACAAAGATTTATATTTGTTAATAAATTTAATCCAGTACTATAGGGTGTCAACAAAAGCACTATATTTAATATGTCTAAAAGAATATTTTATTCTTAGAAAATGAAATATATTGTTACATATTTACAATAGGTAAATATTCTGACTTAAGAATGTCATGCTTAGTTTGACCTTATAACGCATTTTGTCACTGTCAGCTCATTGCACAGCTTTGTTGAAATTTGGTTGGCATGGAGCTCTACATGAAGGAACAGTAAGTTTGGATTGTTAAAATTCATTACAAGAATGGCAAAGTGTTATGCATAGATTGGTGGAAGCTTTATTCAATCTTTGAACGTAAACATATTGCACCTAATGCAGATTGATAAAGAAACTTGAGGACTCAGATTTGACTGCAAACATTAAATCATCACATTCTTGATTTTGCTGGTCTATTGAAAACATTGCTGTTTTGCACAACAGTGGTATTTGAAGTCCCCCCAAAATCTAATTTATGGAGAAGTAACAAATAAGTAAATTAACAAGGAAGTTGTCATTAATTACAACAGTTAGCAGATATGTGAAAAAGTGATTATGAATTAAATCACCATGCTCTTGATCTAGCCAGCCTGTCGAAAACATACCTGTTTTGCATGACATTGTTATTGTAAGTCATAGGTCACCATGCAGTTGAATTTTTGGCATAGAAACAGAATGAAGAGAGTTTGGTCAAAGTACATGTGAGAATTTTGTTAGTCTGGAAAATGTGAAAAAGGTAATTTCATCATCTAAGTGTCATAACTAATATCCACTGAGACAGAATCATTTCTCCCAAGTTATGTATTGTCGCAACACAAAGATTCAGTACCCATTATAAAGAATATCTGGTGTCTTGCTGAAAACTTTAAGAATGCTAAACAGAGGATAGAGCTTGAAGAGCATTTATACTCAAACAAAACAAACTGATAAGAATGAAAACTTTTAATTTTCTGATAGAAGAATCAACTGTAAAACTACGAGCTCATAAGATTTCCACTTCCTCTTTCCCTTGAATAGTGAACATTTCAAAATTTCCATCATAGTCTCAACCTTAAATAAAAGGTACTTTCATATTATAGCAACCATCTTAATAAGAATTACCAAATTCCAGAATATGGAAAACTTTGGCAATCACATGCATAAAAATTCTTCAGGTGACCATGCGCGTAACAGTTTTTCAGTTTTAACAGCCATTATTGCCATTTTCATTTAACTCAAGTCATTTGGATTGTGGGATATTTCTTTGTCATTCAGGTATTGTCTTTTCTTCTTTCTTTTTTTTTTTTTTTTCAGTGCTATTTGTTATTTTTTAAACTGTTTATTTATAATGAAAAGAGAAAGTGCTTGTGTTACAGTGATGCATTGTCAATGGGTTTAATTACAAATAAGATTGAAAACTATGTGTGTATTGATGAAATGCATTTGGTAGATAGCCGGTGCACTATGTCAACATTGTGCATGATGGCAAGTTTGTGCGAATCTCTGACTTTTTTTCAGGCAAAAACAGATTGCTGTGTATTGAGGAGAACAACATCAGGGAGTGTATTGAGGAGAGAACAGAAAAAAATGTATAAGGATTTTTTGCAAAAAATGTAATTGTTTTATTTTTGAAATGCATCATGTAATCTTTATTTAATAATTAAAATTTGTGTTCTAAATTAGTAAAGTGTGTTTTCTTCTGGTATGTTGATATCATTTGCCAACTTAAATTAATATTGATGACTTGACAATCTTTTAATGAAAAGTTGTGAGGACTGCCAACTTATTTTCAATAAATTTCTTTTCCCAATTCGTCAATCTGTAAAACTGTAACAAATGATTGTGCTAATGCCTAAGTACCAAACATAGGTCTGTCTGGTAGCTCAATTCCAGAATTTGAAAGGAATCAGAGAACCTATTTTGGTTTTATGGTTTAGTGATTATATACACCATATGATGTCCTAGGATATGTTTATTATATCCTCGTTCTCCTAGATTTGGTTTTCATACCTGTCTCATATAGCCTTTGTTTAGAACACAGAGAAAAGTCTGGGTGAAAACGAAAGACAAGAAATGTAAAATTGATGTCTTTTTTAAATAGAACATGGATCGTAATATCCTAAACATGGATGATTTTAATTGCTAGTAATTTTTTCTCTAAAACTTGCTGAAATTCTTAAAGTATGTGAAAAGTACAAAAAATTTTTCATTTGAAGATATCCACACATTTTGTTATATCAAATTTTAGCAGTCTTCGAGATTGACTATAAGAGTATAATGTAACATTAAGGGTATAAGAAATTAGGGATCAAAAGGTTCGTTCATTATATCTAGAATTTGTTATGCGCCGGGTTCTTTATGGCTGTAGTTATACAAGTAAAACTTTCTTTTATATCTAGAAAGAGTTATGGAAGTGGTCTGTCAAATGTCTTGTATAACTGCCTCTTAAATAACAGACATTTTTATTATCTTAGAATTTGTTTATTTTATATTCAGAGGTATTATCTGTATCATTAAGACATTTATTTTTCCTTTTTTTTTTTTTTTTTTCTCTCTCTTTTTGCAGATCCATCTGCTGTCAAATCTTCTTGGCAACTGTATGAAGGTTATGTTGTTGCAGAAGGAGTTGATATATTGCCTTACTCTTCTAATAATAGGTTTGAAATTTTTTGTTTTTAATGTGACCTTTTAATAAAAGAAAAATGAAAAGAAAGAAAAATCTCTAAATTTTAATGTAAATTTAAAGTATTTACGAACACAAATAATGAATGTTCATAGTCTACTCAATACTCATTTTAGAGAAATGGGAATTTATGTCATATATGCTTCTGCATTCATGTAAGCTTTTTTATAAACCCACTTCTCTTCCCAAATTCAACAAGCACTTTCAACTGAAGTTCCTTCTATATTTTTGTAATTCTCTTTGATATTCTATGGATCTCAAAGATTATTTGATATTCTAAGGATCTCAGAGATTGTTTCTAAATTTTTAATGAAGTTTAACATCATGATTGTTTCTAAACTTGTAATGAAGTTTAACATCATGATTGTTTCTAAACTTGTAATGAAGTTTAACATCATGATTCAATAACCATTTAAAACTGTTAAAAAAATTTATGGGGATAATGAACATGTTTATATTAATGAAATCCATGTAATTTTTCTAACAGACACATTATATCTTTCTGAATGACATTAAAGATAAGCTAAGAGGTTTGATAAATCCCCATGAAGACTGTGAACACATTTATATTCATTAAACCTACATAGACCTACATATAAGTGAATATTCAAATTATTTTGTGTATCAGGAGTCTGAATTAAAATTTAACATGGTTCAAGTTTGAATCTTTTGAGCTGAATTATGAGGGTTGGAACTTTAATAGTGGCAACTATTTATTTACAAGGAATACAAAAGTCATTCATGTCATCACCATGTTTTACAGTCCTTCAGTATAGTCGCCAGCATTGTGTACAACCCGTTTCCAATGATGTGGAAGTCGCAGAATACCTGTAGCAGCGCCTGTTTTGTTGATAGTTTGAATGGACCGGTCTACTGCCGCAAGAATCTCAGGAACAGTTTGGAAGCGAGTGCCACGAAGTGGTTCCTTCATCTTAGGAATTAAGTCATAGTCACAAGGGCTTAGATCTGGGGAGTATGGTGGATGGTAAAGCACTTCCCAGCCCCATCGCTTGAACAAATCAGTCACAGCTTGCGCTGCATGCGGCCGAGCATTGTCATGCAAAATGAGAGGAGCGTTCTGCAGAAAGTGTCGCCGTTTTTTTTCTCAAAGCTGGTCGGAGATTGTGCTCCAAAAATGAGCAGTAATACTGCGCAGTGACGGTCTGCTGTGGGGGAACGGTATGCGTTAGGATGACACCATCACAGTCGTACACGAGAATCACCATAACTTTCACATTGCTGGGGTTCTGACGAAATTTCGAACGTCGTGGTGACCCGTGATGACGCCATTCGTTTGATTGGCGTTTCAGTTCTGGCTGGTTCGATCGGGCCCAAGTCTTATCCAGCGTAATGATACGGCGTAAAAAAGCATCTCCTTTGCGCTCATAGCGCTCCAGGTGGGTTCGGGCAGCATCGTATCGTAGCCATTTCTGCATTTCCGTCAATTGATGTGGAACCCATCGTGAAGCAATTTTTCTCATGGACAGGCGTTCCTTCAGAATGTGCAGCACAGTCGTATGCGCTAATCCTGTTTGTTTGGCCAGCTGACGAATCGTTTGGCAGCGATCACTGTCCATTAGTGCGGCAACAGCTTGCACGTCTGCATCGCTGACACTCGGACGACCTGGCCGCAGCATGTCTGCCACGTTTTGGCGTCCTTCATTGAATGCTTTCACCCATCTTGCTACGGTTCTGTAAGGCAATGCAGATTCCCCGCAAGCCTCTTGAAGCCCTTGATGACACTGTCGTGCTGTACGACCTCTGGCACATTCAATTTTTATCCAACATCGTTGTTCTTGTTTTGAAAACATCCTGACAACACATACTTTAGACCGCGAGCTAATACAAGGATCCGTTCTTCGCATCACTCCGCATGTGCGTGACGTAGGCAAGACGAGTCTTTTTGCTGAGAGATAAGGTAGGTATGTAGTTTACGTGTAGTATAGGCGATATTCTTTGGTTTTGTTGCGTAGCGTTTTTTTCAGCTGTGTTGCCACTATTAAAGTTCCAACTCGTATTTTATGTTGCTGCAGATATTGAATTTTCATGTTTTAATTTCTATCTAAGGGTTTTCTATTTTTTATTTTCTCTTTTTCACATTTAGCTAATGCTTTGTATTTGTTCAAAAACATTTTTTAGGTAGCTATTCTTCTTTTTTATGTTTTCTGATTTTTCTCTGTTCTTATATGATATATTATGACCCTTTAGTAGATTTCTCTATGAATTTGGTAAAGGAGGATGCTTTGTTAATGTAGCTTTCCTCCATTTATAATATCAATCAGTGACTAGCTGTAAAATGGAAAAGAATAAGGTGTATCATCTTGTAAACTGAAAAATATGATAATACATTATATTTTATGCAGTTCAAAAAGTGAAATTTTTTAAAAAATTGTGATAGTGTTTAAATTGAGATATTTAAATAGTGTTTAAATTGTGATTTTGAAATGTTTAAACTGTGATTGATAAACTGTTATAATACTGAATCTTTGTAAAACAACTTTTATCTCTATAACAACTTTTAAAAATTTAGTTTTTCTTTTATTCCAGAATGTTATAATGAGAGTCAACATATTTTTATGCATAAAATATGTTTGTCATTGAAAACTGAAATTGAATTTATTATGTAAAATTATTCCTTCTTTAACATTTTATAATTTGCTTTTTCAGAATAAATTTAGTTCACAACTACTATGGCCTTTTATTACTCATTTTTGTTCAGTCAGGTGTATTAGAAGTAAGTGAAATGTCTTTAAATCTTTTATTATAAGAAAAAAGAGAATTTTTAGTGTGCAGTTTTAATTTTTTAACTGCAATTTTTTTGTTTATTGAAGTTTTATTTTTATGAAGCCCTTAGTAAAAATTTACCACTCTAGAAAAGATTAATAATGTACCAAGGAAGCTATAAATTGTAAAATTGTAGCTATAAATTATTTGCTAAAATATTATTGCAAAATTTATCTTAAAAATATTCAGAATTTCACAGTATATGCTACTTAACTTACCTGGATTAGACAATAAAGAAAAATAACACAGAATATTAAAAGCATAATATTAATGTATGAAGAAGCAGTCAAAAAGTAGCATTAGAAGTAAGTAGAAAAATAACATTAAGGTATGAAGTCAGAAGCTAGCTGTATTCAGTTTTATTTAAAATCAGCTTTTTTTTTTTTTTTTTTTTAATTTTTATTCTTTAATGATAATTAAGGAAAAATGAACCCAGTACCTTACATGCAAAAACAGTTAACTGAAATCTTTATATAAGAAATGACTTTCATATATTTTGCTCATTAAATGGTGACACAACTTAGCCACTTATTTATTTATTTTTAATTCTTCATCGAGGTAAGTGTTCATCTATTATGTGTGCTGCCAACTACTATGTTATGACATGACATGGATTGAACCCCTATAAACCTCCGTATTAGGTGGGATGTGGGCCATCCAGTTGGTAGTTCCCTGGTGAAAGGTTAATTGCGTTCACTTGCTACTGCCCGGGCCCCTCAACCGACAGCAGACTTTTAGAGATTTCACTCAACCAATTGCTAACTCCTCCGGGCATGCGGGATCACCACTTCCGGTTCCTGGGTTTCACAGAAGGCAGGACATGCATGCTTGGAGATTTGACTGGTCATCAGAAACACTACCTGCCAGTACCACAACAGGGTGCCCAGTGGCGTAGCGAGAGGAGGGCAAGGTGGTGTATGATGCCCCGGGTGCCGCTCGCAGAGGGGCGCCAAATGGTCTTCAAACAAGATTTTTATCATATCACTGTGTTTTTTTCAGAGGGGGGGCACCAAAAAGGTATTTTGCCAAGGGCGGCAGTTATGCTTGCTACTCCACTGAGGGTGCCGAATGTCCGATGTTAATAGGTCTTACATTTGGAACTTATCCCTCCTGTACTTGTGGGGCACCCAGATGGATCCAGGTGCAATTTCGTGCTGCCCCCACAAGTCACGGGAAACCGCCAAGGTCAATGACTATGTGCCCCTGTGGCCGAGACTGACTAGGTACAGATCCTAGCCAGTACTTCACAGAGTTCTCTCTGTCGACTTCCCCCGAAGGGGGTTATTGATGTAAGGGTTAGATAATTGTAAAAGTTTGCTATAAGCTTCCCAGGATAGATCAGGACTGAATTAGTTGTTATTGAGTGTACTGATAACGTGAAAACTTTCTGGGGTTTAGAAAAATGAGTTTTGAATTTGAATAAAATAAATCAATGGAAGAAGCATTTCTTAAAATTTGCTGAGGACTTGTAACATTTTGAAAATGTTTGAGTGAAAAGATTTATGCCTGAAAGAAAATGGCAAATTGTTAAAAGTTTTTGGCAGTCTTGGTAAGTGCAGCTAGAAAGAAATTATATTTAAACTGAGAATTTGCTAAACAGCAGTGTGCAACGTATTTAAACAAAGAATTATAATTGATGAAGAACTCATAAAGAATTATAAATGATTAAGAACTAATAAAAAATGCAAATGTCTCAAAGAAGAGCAAGATGTTGGAAATGCTTTCTTAAATGGTTTCTAGTAATAAAACAAAAATGTTCTTATTTCTGGCCACCTTTTCAGTATAAAAGGTGTGGAATTAGCTAAACTGCTAACAGAAAATTTTCCTTCAACTGATGAATAGCTCGAAATTCATAAAGTGAAAAACAACATCAGAGACTTCATGGTGAGAAGAAAGAAGTATATCATCATGTAGCCAATAAACTACATAAATGACTTTGTTACTAGGCTGCTGAATGAATTTAAGTCACAAGAAATGTATAAAACAGACAAAAGTGGACTGTCTTACAGACCATTAACAGAACTTACATTAATGTTTAAGAGGGAAGTAGCAGGCGGTTTAAGTAACTGAAGGAAAGATTTACTGTATTAATAGGAGATATGGACCCATTAATTAAGAAGACAATACTGGTAATTGATAGAAGGAGAAAATCTTGATGTTTGAAAGAAGTTGAGAATTTACATCCAGCTTACCATACCAACAAGAACTCATAGATATTAGTATTTTTACTGATTTTTTTTTTTTTTTTAAATAGGGCAAAAATCTGAAAAATAGCTTAACTAATTATAATAACTATGCTACTCACACACCTGTGATCTCTATCTGAAAAAGATTAGTCCCTCTTTCTGCAAATATAATTCTGACATTCAGCCTTTAGTCCAGGGTATTATGACAGCTTTGAGATGTCATTATAGAAAAGATGTCCAGAAAATGATAAACAGAATTCATTCTTGTGAAAATGAAAGCATTTTTGAAGGAGATAACTAAGTCAATATCTCTGATACAGACCATGCATAGTATAGCCAAAGCATGGAGTCAATCTCTTAAAACACAAAACTATTTTCCAATATGAGGCCTTTATGTGGAAAAAGCCTGAGAGGAATCAAAAGCTATAGCTAATGTTCTAGACATTAGCAAGTAAAGTTATGAAAAAATTCATTTTTAGAATATATGTCAACTGACGACAGTTTTGCAACAACATGTATAAAAAACTGACTATGATAGTATAGAAAGCATTGAAAGAGCTGCAAAAACTGAGAGTGAAAGAAACTAATGACATGCCAACATCAGTAAAGTGCAGAAAAGCTCTAAGAAAAACTCCTCATTTAAAAAATGCTGACCAAAAAAATAAATTTCAAAATTGCATAAATAGTTTAATTCTATCATTAATTTAAATTATTGTTTTAGGATTAATCATGGGATTAATTGTTAGTTACTATTTTATTAGATAAGTTTAAAACTGAATTTGAAGTGCACTAGTCACCATCTTACTCAGCCACTTTCAAAACTCAAATATGCTTGGAACAAAAGTAATTTTAATAAGTTGCAGATACTATATGTATTTTTCCATTATATGTTATATTGTATCTCCACTATGCATGTTACTATGTATGTACTGTAATGTACTATGTATGTACCATAATGTATATACCACTATGTAATGCACTATGTATGTACCATAATGTACTATGTTTCTGTACTATATGTTATGTGTATTTACTTCTAGATGTTATAACTTTTTTAGGTATGAAAAACTAGAAGTGTTATTTCTTAATAAACTTAATTGCATTAAGAAATAACTGTCAGATAATTTACGTCTCAGAGAAGTGGGCAAAAAGTTTTATATTCTTTCTGCATGTATTAAATTCATTTAGCTATTAAGTTCATTAATTACAATTGTATACAATGATTTTAAAATTATCTCTGGCATGAATCAAAGTTAAGCTGAATTATATCTGTAAATTAAAATATTTTAGGCTTTTAAATAATAAAAACTAGTTTTTGTTGAATGTTTCTCTATTCCTATATAATATTAAGAATAATCTGAACAACATAAATTTGGAATGATGACAAGATAGTGCTTTAATATGCTACTGATAAATCTGTAAAATTTATTAATGTAATTTCCACAGGTAGAAACACATTTGTAAATATGAGAATGGTATCAATAAACAGAAATTATTTTCACAATCAAGTTAAAAGGTATGACTAAATATATTGCAGGAATTATGTTCTCGTTCATATTAGGAAATCATAAAAATTTTAATAGCAATTTTTTAAATTATTACGTTGTTAAGTAATGTACAGCAGGCTTTTATTTGATATGTGGTTTATTAATAACTTTTATTTCTTTTTCTTCTGTTTATTTGATTAAATTCAACACCTTGATCATTTAAAAAATTTAAATATATTTTTCAGGCTCTTTCAGAAGTTATTGTGTCTAGTGAAACACATTTAGCAGTCAGAGCCACTATTTTCCTAGGAGAATTCATATATATGGTATATAAGCAATGAATTGAGTTTATCTTAATAGTGACTGAAGTTCTTGCTTAAAGTATTTTATTTTGAACATTTATATTATTTACGAAAACTGTTCATATATTACCTTCTGATTGTTTTGTGACATTTAAGGTAATTAAAATGTTTGTAAATTGCTAAGTAAGAATATAAATGTGATCAAACTCCACTTTAATGAACTTCAAGACAGCACTTTGGTTCATTTTGTTTCTTATTGGATAAGATATCCAAAATTAAAAAAAAATCATATTAAGGTTTAAGTACAATTAGTAAATTTGTAGACCACCTTTTTTTTTTTTTTTTTTTCAGTCTCACTGTATGTCAATTTTACATGATAAATTGCTCAGCATAAATATGGTTGCGATCCTTTCCTCGAATTACGTATCTATAATTTACAAATAATTATTTTATTCATTAAATTGTGAAAACACTGAAAATGAATAAAAAAATTGAAATATTAATCATACATTTTGTTTAATCAACCTATGAGTACCCCCCCCCCCTCCGAAAAAAAGGCTGTAAATTTTTGTTGCTTTCTGCTGGTAGATTGCTGAACGATTTTATATAAATTTTTGTCCAAAAATTGACAAAATTCCATCTCTCTTGTTCTGCAGGTTTTGTAAATAAAAACTTATTAATGATATACATTCTTAGCAACCACTGTGGTAGGGAGCTCCAAGGTCAAATCATAGTCATTCCACAACTTCCAGTGAATGATTGAACCTGATGTGTGTATACTTAAACTAACCAAAACAGAGAACTAATCACTCAGGGTAACTGTACTACAAGGTTTGCTCTTTTCAGCTAAAATTCTGAGCATGTGAGGTCTCCAAAACATCTACCGCTGACTCCCTCATTTCCTCCATTTTTGTAAGTCAAATGATGCCATTGAACTCAAGCATTGGGAAAAGGGTAACTTTATTTTATCTGCCCAAGGTTTATTGACCTTGAGGAGTTCACTTTTTGAATTTTTTAAGCATGTTTGCATTTCCTCAACCTTTTCATCATCATCAGTAAAATAATTTTCAACATTAGCATTTCTTATTTCAACTTCTGTTACAATAACTTTATCTGGATTTTCACTTATAACAACATTATCATTACATGATTGTAAAAAAACTCCTCATCATGTTGTGCAAATATTGAAACACCATTTTTCTCCCCCTCACACTTAGTGATAGGTTAATCCTTGTTTTCATCTTCCTTTTTCAAACCCTTTCAGAATCACTAGCATTCTGTTAAGAAATGTTATAATTGATGTAATTGTTGTACTTCTCCAAAATGCTTAAAATGAACTGCTTCTTAAAATAACATTCAAGTTCCTGATCATGCCTTGTTTCATATGTTGTTGTGTCAAAGTTGCTTTTGAAGGTAAGAACACAATTTTAATACAGTCAAAAGTCTTTAATCCGGACTCGTCGGGACTTCGACGATTCCGAATTATCGATTTTTCCGGATTATAGATCATAAGTTTAAATCTGGTAAGATGGCATGCAGAAATTATATTAATTATAAAATTAAAAATATGAAACCGTAATTTATAAAATAATGAGCAATTATGATCTAAAGGGTATCAAAATTTACAAAAAAAGAAGCTTAATATTTATTTGTTTACTTTATTAAACATTTCTTTAAACGCGCGCATGCGTAAAGCATACTCTACGCATAGACGGAATTAGAAAATTGCAACCAGAAAACTATTTGATTTGTATTCGTGATATTTATAATAACGAGAAATTTGATTAAATCATATCAAAGACGGAGTACATCGAGATTAAGTACTACATTTAATAAGGAATTATAAGCCGAATAAAATAAAAACATCTGCCCTAAAGATAACGATAGTGCTGACAGATCAACTTCCAGTTCATAGCGCGCCGCGACGTCTCTCCCCCCCCGCGCAGAGCAGCGTGAAATTGATAAACAGATGTCGGAACGGTTAGATAAACAAAGGATATGCCTTTATCCATTTTTTATAGCAATTCGTTTTTTGTTTGATGGACATCGAAGCATACTTTCGTTTTCTAGATCCTTTGGGAGCTCCAGCATCGGAAATTCTATTTGACATCATCGAAAGTTCAAGCTTACTTTTATAAAATTGCTCTTACAGTCTGCAAAAAATAATAAGCCGGATCCAATTCGAAGATTAAGGAACAACGCAATCATCAACATTAATTGAAATAGATAATTAGATAATTTTAGCTTATACCGTCCGTTTTACATTAAACGCGCACGCGAAAAAGAATTCTGCGCTTGCGCAGACACATATGCGCAGTCGTAAATGTCTTGCGCGCACGCGTAAAACGCCTATGCGCATGCGTCAGCGCGGCGCATGCGCAGAAAGTTTTAGCTTTGAGGTCCGGATTATAGATTATTCCGGATTATGGGTGTCCGAATTAACGACTTTTGACTGTATATTCTAAGTTTCTGACATCTTGTATGCACTACAACTATCAATCAAGATTAGAATCTTTCATATTGGAAGTTCTTAATTCTACTTTCATAATTCTTCTTCAGATAGTTTTGACATTATCCATGCCTTTGTAGTTCGCATTTTTTAAGCATGTTGGCTTCGGAGATTTTCTGGTCACCAAAAGCTTACTATGCCCATACTTATTGAACACAAGAATTATGGTTCACAATTTGAATATTTTCCACCTGTGCCTCCTTGGTTTTTAAATTTTAATGTTTGATTTGACATTGGGACAAAAATTTTTGTCTAATTTCTTGTCATCTAATTTTGATATGTTGCCTAATTCTTCAGCAAATTTTCCTAAAGAAATGTTACTTTTCTTAAACCTTTCCAACTAGATATTTGAACATAAAATGGCCCTCTTTGCAAAGTGTATGGCACATTCATTGAACTTTATCTGAAACATTTGTCTTGATATTGTTAGATTATGCCTTCTTTGAATAATCCTTCTCAATTTTTTCCTCATATCCAAATTTTTTCATGAACAGAAATTATCAAGCTTTAATTTTTCCATATGTTACCACCTGTAGATTTGTATAAATAATTTTACTGCTGCCAGATATCAATTTGTAATTTTGTCACCAGAATGCCTTATTGAATGTCTAATGAAAAACATTAATTTCTCTGTATATATATATAGTTGCAAACAAAGCTTCAGTAACCTTTATAAAGCATAATCTGCATCTTGCAAAAGTTCTGAAGAATAAAAACCCCACATTCAGACTTGCAAAGCATTTTTATTCAAAGAAAACAAACCAGTAAGTATCAAAATTTAATTCCCTGAAAGCTAAATTAACTGTAGAGCCCAACTCATAAAATTCACTACTACTCCTTCCTAAATATTGAAAATTTCAAAATTTAAATCATAGCATCATCATATGATCTTGACTTCAGTGGCCTGATATACGTCCTGGTTCTCCCAAAATTAGACTATATCTGCTTTGAAGAGCCTTTATTTGGAACTTAGAGATGTGTGTCAGGGGCGGGGGAGAGAGAAAATAAAAGAAACATAAATATGCTTTTCATTATGGATGGAATGTGGATCGTACCATCCTAAGTAAGAATGATTTTAAGAGTTAGTAAATTTTTTATTAATGTGCTAATTATGAGGAAAATATGAAATGTACAAAAAAAATTAACTGAAGATATACATGTAATTCATTTTATCTGATTTTCCTAACTTTTGGAGGTTCACTATAGCAATATAAAATAACATTTAATATTTAGGAAATTAGACTGGGCCAAAAGATTCATTCATAGGTTCCAAAAGGTTCATACTATAACCATAGATTCATTTTAGCAGGGTTCTACTGTAGTGAGACTTAACATAAAAGTTATTTAACATTTTTAAAAGTAAAATTTTTTACTTATTCTTAAATTCATTGTTGCTATATATATATTTGTCTTTACTGAAAATTTTCATCAAAATTAAACATTGTTTTCTTTTAATAGACTTTTCACATCTTACTAATGAAAAAATTAATTTGAAGAGATCATTCTTGGTTAAAAATTTTGAAATTAATTAAATAAATAAATAAAAAACATATATTCTTAGCTGTCGAAAGGGTTTTTTTTACAAAAAACTAATAAAACATTTCATTAATTTCATGGAAATCCTTAAGTATAGTTATTTGTCATTGCTACATCATTATGTAATTTATAAGTTATTTATCATAAATAAGAATTTTTTTTTTAAATTTGTGATAGAAGCATGAAATTTTAATTACAATTTTTGCAATAAATATATTACTGTATAAACCTTTGTATAAATAAGATCAACAATACCGATACTATTTTAAATTAGAACCTTGAATATTTATTGTGAGGCAAATGAGGAAACACAATAAAATTGTATAAGCATAATTTTTCCAAAGTCTCCATGACATGCAATGCACATATTATAAGTGAAAGTGGGTGCCCTGCAAGAAGAATTCTTTTGGTTGTGTATGTAACTACTTATGCAGTGTGGATTTTATTGCTCTGGAAGTGCATTCTTGTCTGTTTCAGCCATCAGAAATGCATGAGATTCACTGGAGGTTATGCCTTGTACAGTGATGTTAAATTGGCAGACATAGAGCCACATCCAGTCCCCAAAGCAAGTTAATGTTACCCTCAAATACGTTACGTATTTTTTGTAAATACAGTATTTATAGTTTTAGATACATTGAGTTATAAAGGGATCTTAGGTGCACAATTGCTTTGAAGGAAAGAGAGATCAATTGAATAGGTCAGGCCTTTGTCACTCTATGCTTGTATGCCATCCATGTGAATGGGTTAAGTAGGAGAACTTCCCACACTGCAAGGCACTTATTATTATTTTGGTGTTTCTGTTTTCTCCTTGTAGATTTTGTATTTCTGATGTGTACTTTATTAAGTCTGTGGTTAATTTATTAGCTGGATGCATAGCTGTGCAGCTCATATTTTTGTACATATTGAGATAAACTAATGCATAGCTTATAAAACCTGCTAATTTGTCCTCGTTGTTAGATATACATTATATTAATACCTTTTGTTCAGAATTTCGCATAACGTTTGAGTATTACTTAAAGGCTGCATGTACAGTGCAATGTATATATGTGTTCTCCTTTATTTTGTTAAAAAAATATTCCATCCTGCCAGCTGAGCTGCTTTCAAATTACGCATTCAGCCATGTGCAGTTTGAGTTTGAGACCAGTCTATTGAATAAGATGAATCATTCATATGGATGTCTGAGATTTCACATTCTAGATTGTTACTATTGTTAAATGGGCACTATGTGATCTAAAATTATCATGCAATAACATTACATCTGAGGTCAGAAGTCTGTTATCTAATCTTGATTGCAAAATGAAGGTGAATTTGAAGTTGATCTGCATAAGAAGTACTGGTCACTGTTACTTCGTTTTTTTGTAATGTTCCAAAATTACCTCATCTGCACTCCAGAAGAAAGTGAAAATGATTTTTCCTGCTATTAGAATGAGCTTCTCCGCTGAAGTGATGTCATTTTTAAAACTTCCTACACCATTTGCACACTTTCTGAGGTACATACAAATTATGTATTTTTCTTTCATCCTGTAATAAATTTCAATTGGTTTAACATCTTTATTACTCAAAAAATACATTACAGTTTGCTGCTCATATACAGTATATGTTGACAGTGGGATGGCCATTTTCATACTAATGCAGCATCCTTCTTCTGTGATATAGCATCGTATTGCCACATGTTAATGATGCTTTGAGCTGCAAGAATTACTCCTGACAACTTACAAATATACCTTACAACTTTTCAGAATATTATTGCACTTTTAATGTTTTCATTTGATTAACCTATATAGTTATTTTAATTGATATATATCGAAGGTGGCAAACTTCGTGTCAGTAACAGCCATACAAGGTTGTTCAATAAGTTCGCGGAGCGCCATCTATTCTTCAATATTAGACCTAAAACTTCAATGCCATTTTCGTATTTGTTCTTTCTTAGGAACACGTCAAAAGTTTCATTTCAATCTGTTAATTTATTCATTATTTAACCGCCCTTTATATCTAACGTGTTGTGGCTTTTTTCAGGTATGGATAAAATTGAGCAACGTGCAGTTATCAAATTCTTTGTAAAAAAAGGTTTAAAGGCAATGGAAATTCATACCGAAATGGTAAATGTGTTGGGGGAATCCGCTCCTTCAAAAACAATGGTTTGCAAGTGGGCTAGTTTATTCAAAAGTGGTCGTACCAGCCATGAAGACGATCCGCGAGAGGAACGTCCCAAAACTGCATCGACACCGGAAATCATCGGAAAAATACAAGATATGGTATTGGAAGACCGTCGATTGACAGAAAGAGATTTAACAGAGGCTTTAGGCATTTCATTGGGCACAGGGAACAATATTTTGAGTGTTAATTTGGGTTTAAAAAAACTGTGCAAAGTGAGTGCCGCATTCTCTAACGATGGGGCAAAAACACATTCGGATGAACTTGCCAGCAAAATTTGGAGCATTTTAAGAAGAATAAAAGTGACTTTATCCGTCGATTTATCCCAATGGATGAGACTTAGGTCTACCATCGTGATCCGGAATCAAACAGGAGGCTAGAGGAGTGTGTGAACCCAGCTCTTCAGCAGCGCCGAAGCGAGTTCGTGTGCAAAATCAGCCAGAAGGGTTAGCATCAGTTTTTTGGGATGCGAAAAGGAATTTTTTTTGTTTATAGATTACCTTCAAACTGGCAAAACAATTAATTCGGATTATTATTGTAACCTTTTGAATCAATTACGAAAAAATTCGTGAAAGAAAACTCGGATTACAGAAGAAGAAAATCCTTTTTCCACCAAGGTGACGCACCTGCGCACACAGCTCAAAAAAGCATTGCTAAAATAACTGAATTGAAGTACGAATTGTTGCAACATCCAGCCTATTCACCAGATTTAGCTCCCTCCAACTTCTGCTTCTTCCCACACCTCAAACAATATCTCCGTGGAAAACAATTTTCTTCAAATGAAGAGGTAATAGCTGCCGTGGATGGATATTTTGCAGAGCTGCCGAAAAACCAATACAGTCAAGGGATCCATAAATTAGAAGACCATTGGAATAAGTGTATTGAAGTTGAGGGAAACTACGTTAAAAAATAAAGTCATTTTTACAAATAAAAATTGGTTTCTTCATTTCCGTTCCGTGAACCTATTGAACAACCTGGTATATTGGAATTTGGGAAAGTCTGAGAGCCACAACTAGATTTTCCAAAAGCCATAAGTTCATATTTATATCATTTTGATCAGTCAAATAGTCAAGTAGTCAAATAGGTTTTAAATGGAAAAGAAATATCAGATAACTGTAAAACATTATGGAATAAATTAACGTTTTTTGGACAATGAGTAGATTTAGTTTACCAAATTTTCTGACATATATTTTATTTGCATATGTGATGTGGCCATCCCTGATACTATATATCTTGAATGGAAGTGAATTTTCTTGTTAATTCTTTATGAACATAGTTTTGAAAATTTTTATAATTTTAAATAACTAAAAATTTAATTTTCTCCATTTAGTCAGTTTGCTTTAATCCATATTAAAAATTTAGTGAAGCTAAATTTAACAAGTTTTAAAGAATTTATGAATTTTGATTTTGGAGCTCTATGGCCAGTAACAACAAAGATATGGGAAAATTCTATTACATTCAATGCTATTCATTTTCACTATATATTTTTAAATGCTTTGGTTATCAATACATCCATATTTTCATATGATATTTATGGGAAAAACCCTAGAGGATTTTTTGATAATATATTTTCACAGGTATCTGAGCTAGTAGTAACTGTTCTTCATTTGGATGTATTGAGTGGAGTTCTTTATTAAGATTAAAGAGCTTCCTGCAGCTAGATTCTTTAATCATATTTTTTATTCAAGAGATTAAATGTGAAATGCAGTGATAAATCTGATAAGTAAAAATTTCAAATTTAATATAATATAATCAATTTGCTTTATGAATAATTATATGTCAATTATTTAAAAAAATTCTTACCTATGTTAGATTATGCCTTTGTTAACTGCTTTGAAAATACTAAAAAATAGAGTTGTTTTTCAAGGAATGTAATTTATGCCTCTCTGACAGATTCTATTTATTTTTAGGCAAATCAGTTCCTTCCTGCAGATTGTAGTCATCTCTCAAATTGCTTACCCACTTTAATATCATCAGCTGCTGCTTTTGGATCCTCCAAAGCACAGAAGTAAGTTATATACAAATATATGAATATGTAATATTTACAGATGGTACTTACAAATAGATATCAGAGCTATCAGAATTTAACAATTACATACCTGCCAACTTTTACGAATGTTTCGTAATTTTTACGAAAATGCGTTTGTTTTTACGATTTTACGATCGTAATCCATTTTTTACGATTTTTTTTTCCAAGTGTTTTTAGTGATTTTTGTCGAAATTTAGAATTTTTCGCCAACTCAGCGATTTTCGCCAATTGCATCGTGTTTTACTGCCAACTACCGACTACTTCGAATCCAGTAACCTGCGGTTTCTCCCAACTCGCCGCTTAACCAGCCAATCCAATGCCCTGAACTTGTTTCTCCCACTCTTTTCTTTGTGGGTGCCAGATTATTTTTTTCACGTTTGCTTCAGCAGCAAGGGAATTACTCAGCTCGGACTCAGCAAGCGTGGATTGTCGCATTCTTTTTTTTTTTTTTTTGCTTTGTTTGCACGTGCTACGAATTTTCTTAATACCGTCGTTGTTACAAAATAAGTTCAAAAAACCATATTCTCAATATTATCGGCCTGCCTACAAAGCCGAATTTCCAACTATTAAAGAATCTTTCAAAGGAAATAACTATGCATTTTGCAACGTGTGCGTGTGTGACTTCATAATAAGTCACGGTGGAAGAAGTGCCATTGTGAAGCATGTTAAGTCTAAAAAGCATGAAGTTAATGCTTCGACAACGTCTAACTAAGCATCGACAATGTCAAAGAAAGTGGATGATTTTTTTTCAAATTCAGCTACGAATTCGGATGCCGATGTCATTTTGGCAGAGCGTTTGTTTACTGCATTCCTCATCGAACACAAGGTGCCGCTAAGCGCTGCTGATCACGCCGGTCAACTTTTCAGACAGATGTTTCCCGACTCCAAGATTGCTCAGAAATATGCTTGTGCTCGCTAGAAAACATCTTCTATTGTGAACGAAATTGCTTGCGATGCACAAAGTAAAACGATAGCTGCACTCCAGAATTCAGCATTTTCGGTGCCAATCAATGGCAGCAATGACAGCAACTGGAAGCTTTATCCCATCGCTGTCACATATTTCTGTGATGTTTCTAATGAAATGAAAACTCATCTTTTGCATCTTCTACTGTTAAATGGAGGCGATACGGGGGAAAATATTGCCTCCTTAATAATTAATGAGTTGAAACAACTTAACATCCCAATATCAAACTGCATTTCATTTGGTGCAAATAATGCTCATGTCATGGTGAGTGACAAAAGGTTGTAGCCTCTTTCCTCCTCAAAAAGAACAAAATAATTAATTGTTATTGGATGCCCATGCCACTTAATTAATTTGGCAGCAGAAAAGCTGCAGCTGCTTTACTATTAAATATTGACCCACTTCTGATTGATGTGTTTTGCTAATCTGGAAAAAGTGTAAAAAGGAAAGAAAACCTAAAGAATTTCCAAAACTGTGCTCTGGTGAAACGAGAAAAATTCTGAAACATGTATGCACGATGTGGTTATCCTTAGGCAGCGCTAGGAGGTTTATTGAACAGTGGGATGCATTGCTTAAAATATTTCCACGAAGAGACCAAACGAAATCACAGATCCCATCAAATTTGTCGGCATATAGATTCCGAAAATCAACTTTGCTTCTAATCAAATGCTTTTAAAAGGGAAAAGCCAACACACAAAATCAAACCCTTTAAAAGAAATGCTTAGAAGACTCTCAAAGGTCAACTTTGTTAAAGAAGTTGAAGGGAAGAAGAAACAGTCTTCTATTAGCCGAGAGGAAAGGATTTTCTATGTTCTTTCTTCGGATTTGAACAAAGCATATTGTAGATTTGTGTTAAGTACCATTAAGATTTTTGAAAGTTTAAATACCCTTCTACAATCAGCTTCGCCAAAATCTGCCCTGTGTATCCAAATTCTTAATGATCTTTTGAAAGAACTTTTAACTAAGTTTGTAAAGCCGTCCGTTGTGAAAAACATGTGTTGTTTTATATTGCCTATAATAGTTTGGCAAATCAAACGGATGGCAATGATCTTATAATTGGAAATCAAACCAGGGAGCTTGTATTCTTTGAAGATCATGAAAAAAGAATTTTTTCAATGTGTTAGAAGTACTTTTTCTCAGCCTGTGATTACATTGTAAGGAGTTCCTTTGCAAAATGAAGTTTGTTTTAATGCTGAAGTGGCAATTTGAAACAAATTGAAAATTCATCTTTGAAAAGATTCGTTTTTTTATTGATAAATTTCCTGTTTGTTAACAATTAAAGAAAATGAAGCCATAATGCTTTAGATGAACTACAGAACCAATTTTCTGCTGCACAGTTTGAAGACTTTGCCAGTTCTGGAGAAGATAGACTTGATGTCCTCATTGGTACCTTAAAAAGAATAAAAGAAGGCTGATGAACACCAAATATGATAGACTAGCAAGAGTTTTATGTGTTCTTTCCGTAATTCCACCACAGTAATCTGAGTGCGAGAGAGTCTCAGTGTTGGGAAGAAAAACAAAACTGTGTTTCGTTCTTCTATTCACCAAAACTCTAAAAACATTTTAATTGCTAAATGTTATGAGGAAACTAATTGTTATGACAGGAAATTTTCCAAAGAATTTTTGGCTAAAGCCAAAAATGCACTCTAAATTCATTGCAATAATTTTTTTTGTGTTACATTAAGTTCTTGTTTTTATGTTTCCTAATAAATTTTTTAGTTACTACTTAATTGAGATTTACTAATGTAAGTACAATTTTTTTTTTTCTATTTGTATAAATTGTTTTTTTTAATATAAAAGCATGATCTTAATTCTTCGTGTTCTTCTGAATTTTGGAGAAATCTTCTGAATTTGGGGGAGAAATCTTCTGAATTTTTATCTTTAGAGGTTGGCAGGTATGCAATTAAAATTTGTTTAAGAACATCTAATGATTATAAGAGTTTTTATCATAATTTAATGAACAGAAAACAAAAACAGCTTGCGAGGAAAAAATGCCAAGGGCCAAACAAGTCGTTCGCTTGCCAAAAAGATTAAGAAAGATAACAACTGACTAAAAATGATGGAACAAGTGATAATATGGATGTACTAAAATGTAAACTTCCTATATATCCCAGCAGAATCCCATTAATCATTCATTCTGTAACAGAAGTTGCATGGAAAATACTGCATAAGCAACTCTGTGCTTTATGCATAACCAAACTTTTATAAAAAATTCTAATTATTTTAATTGGAAATCCATAAAACGTCTATAGGTTAATTGAATGGCTTTCCTCACCTTTCAGTTACGCACAGACGAGTCAATCAAACGGTAATTAAGGACTTATACAATGATCTTACCTAAGATATTCTACATGAGGAATTGTGAAAAAAGACAGTCCTAACTACTGGAGTTAAGCACTTGTAAAGAACTGTTATATATAGAAGATATTTATCAATTTTGTTGGCTTTTTGTGTAATACTGAAAGCAAGAGAGTGTACCAAGCTGAGAGCCTGTTTGGTATGAAAGTCAGAATTAAAAGTTTCTAAGCCTAAACTAGGCTCTAGATTCCTAGATAGTGTTATAGCTGTCAGCAATATGGTCATATTCAAAGCAGATGTTATAAGCTCAGATATGTCAAGTCAGTATTAGAGATAATTTATGATCTAGCCAAACAAGTGAAAACTGTGTCAACTACTATGAATAAGATAAGAATAAGGCTAAAAGCTTTGCTTTTCTCAAAGAACTTAATATGAGGGCAAACTTTTCCATGGGAATGAATCTTTCTGCATTTTATCTCTATGGGTAAAGCTTATTGCACTTAATTCAGTCTTGAACTCTGATTAGCCGAATTAAACAAATGTGAGGAGGCAGTAAATTCTTGCTCTAGTGAAATGTAATACTTGTGAAATTTGGTACAAGTTTAAAGAAATTCTAATTGTGAATTAATTGTTCTTTTGAGGCTATTTAAGCCATGCTTGTTATATTTCTGAAAAATACATTTGAAAATACAGAAATTGACACATTAAGACAATTGCAGATGAAGATTTTATCACTTCTGTTTGCGGTATGATATTAGTACTTGCAAATTGCACAATGATGTTATTACATGCAAATACTGTATTTCAAAGCATAACATCCAGTTTTTCATTTATTCACAGTAAAATAAAAAATTCTTCTGATATTGAAACTGCAGTGAAACTTCTCTTCGGCTGCAAACTTCTTCTCGTCAAAAGTCGTGCTGAACTTGAATGATACATCATTTGTTATGTAATCTTTAAAAATATAGCAAATGTCGTGGCTGGACTTGCTTAATTAAAAAATATATTTACCTCAACTGCTTATGGAGCTATAATAAGTTTTTAGTTAATTTATGAATTTTTGGCAGTTATTGCTACTTTTGTGGCAAAATTTAATTTCCGTTATGCTAATTAATTGGCTGTTAACATGGTTTTAAGCACTGTTTTAAAAGAAATTTGACAGAAATTTACCAAGCCTGGTGTTAGTTTTATCTCCTTCTCCTCAATTATTATTTCACAGAACTGGAAGGCACTTACTTGAATTGCTGTAATGAGCATTAGTTAATAAGAATTATCTTGAAATATCTTATTGCATATACATGCAATTGAAGTTTTTCATAGTTGAGAAAAAATTCTTCATGTGCTATATTGTTCAAATCTTTCATACTTTTGCCAAAAGTGATACCCTGTAAAGCGAATTTTGCATTTGGGAAATATATATATGGAGATCCAGTTATGACTTTAGATCCAGTTATGGTTACAGTAAAAGTATTATGATATTTGTTTAACCTAAAATTCCATCATAGGCAATTATTTGCGATTCTGTGCTCTATTATTGTAAAGGAATCATATATTTGCAGTCTCTTGGTGGTTATGCACAATTCTTTTTCTTGAATTACTTGCATCTGTATATTTTAGGTTCCTGAAGTTGAAGGATGCATTATGTACAATTTGTCATTCATGTGCTCCTTATGTCATGTGAAGACTTAGGTTAAAGACAAACAGCATTCTTATAGACTGCCCTCTGCAACTACAAAATTTCATGACAAAATTTTCCAAATTTCATGTAAAATCTTCTTGTGTATAAGCTTGAGAGTTCTTTGCATTTTTTCTTATGACAAGTCATAGAAACTACTATGCATTTTTTTAGCATACAAAGGTGCAGACTGAACTCAAGTTCAAAGTCTATACTTGTTCCGCTTCCATAGGCCACAACTTCCATTTACTTTCCTGGTCCATCTGCAGTGTGCATGAATATTTTCTAATTTTTTGTATGTCATGTATAGGATTTAGATTTTGTTGTTAATATTATTTTTTATTTAGTAGTTATTATTTTAGAAACATTAGTTCTTTTTTTTCTTTCATAGCCAAGCAACAGCTGCTTTAACATGTTTATTTCGCATTCACGAGTTGAAAAAGAGAGGTCCTATCCCTAACAGTTTAGTTCTCAGCAATATCCTTCATATGTGTAATCCAGACAGAGGAAAGAAAGGTTTCTTTGTGGGTACTGTTAGCAAGATTAAATTATGGAAATATCTAAAACAAGTATGAAAATAATTTTGCAATTAGTACTAATAGGATTTTATTTATGTTTTTTTATGTTTCAGATTTGATAATTAAAAATAAAATTTTCATGAGTTTCTCATTAAGGTATTGCCGTTATTTCATTTAGTTTAACAAAACATTATGAACAAACCTATTTAAAGCAATTTTTGATATATTACATAGATTCTTTGAAACACAAGATGTTATCCTGAAATTCTGAAGGATGTATTTTGCTTTTAAAATGTATATTTGGAGTTATTTTAATGTATTAAATACGTAGTATGCCAAAAGGGATATTCAGCTATGCATGGACATTCCCGATGGTATATCATCTCAAGTGGGATGTAATAGGAGAAATTAACTGTTAATTCAGAATGAAGTTGTAAGCTTATAAGTCTTGTAAGTCTGTTTTCTTTCCTCTTTCTTATGGGTGTGATATCATTTACTTGAATGATATACCCTGAGCAATATTCTTTATAGAAGCCATAATTCCCAATGGGTACATAACAGACAATAAGAAATAGCTATTAAGGCAATACAGTATAGCCCTAATGGCTGTACTTCTTATGGCAGAAGAAACTAAATAGCAAGAGATGAAAATTTTTGTTATTCTCTAAATATTTTTTTAACATCTTATCATAGTATGACTACCTCTGCTTTGAATAATTATTCAGACATGCCATCAAAAATAGAGTTTATTTTACTAACAGCAAAATATATCAAACATATTTTTTAAATAATAATGGAAATTCTAGAATTTACTGTAGTATCATTGTATCTACAGGTTATATGTTCCAAGACTTAAATGTAAACAAGTGAAATTGCAAATAATAATGAATGCTGTTTTATTTTTTTGCTAACCTAAAGATGTATTATACTAACTTTTCAAATGGTAAGTTTTAATGTTGACAACTGTAAAACAAGGAAGTAATATGGAGTTTAAAATACCATTATTTACATTTTATTGGGAAGCATTTTGGAAAAGTTTTAATTCCAAGCTTGTTACTTTTCTAGAAGCGTTTGCAATTTTACATTTATCTAGAAATTCTTAATTACTGAGAGTACAAATAAGTCTCTGTAAAAAAAAAAAAAAAAAAAAAAAAAAAAAAAAAAAAAAAAATGAGTGATTTCAAGAGCAGTTTGGCAAACTGCGAGCTGAATGTGAGTATTAAAAAAGAATAACAAACACTCTGGCACTCCGGAACGACATTAAAATCTGAATATTTTCAGATTTTCTGTCTTTATTTTTTTAAAATTTTGCCCAACGATTTTTTAAAAATTATACCAATAAATTAAAATAAATAAATAAATAAATAAAAATCTGAAAGATTTAAGATTTTAAATTACGTCTAAAGGGGCCTTTTTTTTAACATTTTGTGTGTTACCTTTATTTATTAAATATCACATTCTTTGCACTTAAACCATAAAATTCAGTTCAAGAGCAATATCACAAAAGAGTTTTAAATTGAGCATATCTTTAGAATTTCTGATAGAGATTCTTGCGCGCTGGAGATAAAAATGTTTTTTCTGTACAACGTTGCAATTGTTTGCTTTGAAATCCTTGAGTTTGTTAATCAAGAATTCGTTAAAGTTTTATGAAATAAAAAATCGATAATAAAACAAATTCCAAATTTCAAATTTGGGCTTCCAGATGCCCATATTCACAGTAGGATTATGTCATTCAAAATTCGATGGCTCTGTATACTGTTTTTTTATCACAATGCAAGAAATATACATACATTTATGCAGATTTTTCATTATTTAATTTCTTCAAATATAAGGCAGGACTCTAACATTTGGTGGCAACAGTTTGAAAAGTGAAAAAGACACAATGCAAAATCGCGAAACAAAAACAATAGTCCTCTAGAGACAAAGCTCCTTTGCCACCAGTAAGTTATGGTTAAAATTGTGTGATGTAAAATTTCATATTGTAAGGATAGACATCTGCAAACAACAAAACCTTGAAATATTAGTAATTTTGTATCAGCATCATATATTTGTTTATGCAAAAATGTCATGTTTGAGAAAATGTCATGAGCATCATTTGCTTATTCAGCTCAAAACTGGAACTTATGATTTACATTTTTAATTTGAAGAAATCTGCGGCTGAGGTGCATCAGTTGCTCGTAGAATTATATGATGAGGCTGCTTTAACCCTCTGACTGGTCAGGGTTTTCGCTAGGAAAACACAATTTCTTATTTGGGGGGGGGGTAATTCTATTCAAATAAATTGACATATGAATAATGATGAAGTTAGCAATATGGTACATAATACTTTTGCCTGCACAATTTGTAATAAATTTATGTCTGCAAATTTTATTCTAGTTCCTCAAATTACTAGTAATGTTAATATAATAAACAATAAGTTTTTTTATTTGTTTGGGGGCATGTTAATTAACCCTCCAAAATATCCCACTTTTTATAAAAGAAAATGATATATTTCCCTTAAGGAAAATAATAATAATGGCAATAAATTAAAAAAAACGTGTGACATAAGCAAAAAGAAAATACTGACTCTAGGTACTGCTACATGATGAAAGTAAAATTCCTCACATGGAAATAAATTTAGGATAATGTAATACATTTGCTTGATCTAATTCTTAAAAAGGAGGACTTTTTATTGCAAAATAGTGACTTATGGAAAAAATACATAAAAGTAGGCCTATATAATGTATAATAATTTTTTCATTAATGTTTAAAGACTATGTATAGCATTATAAGCTGATTTACTTGTTGTTTATATTTATCTGAATTAATTTGGTGGCTTCATTGAATATATGTTTACAATTAAGTATCATTTTATGTTGTTTTAATCTATGGAAAAAAGGTAAATTAGTCTACAAGATAATTTTGTATGACGTAGAGTAAAGATCCTATAGTATGGTTTGTGATTTACCAGTGAATAAGAGGACAATATTTGATGGGTCACAGCAATTTTAAAGAGTTTTTTTTGAAGGGGGGTGTGGTACTGTGTAGTTATGTATATTTTTTATAATGATTAATATATTTGTAGTTATCAATTAATAATAAATTGTAATTGATATCGTTATTTGGTATTTCATTAATATGTAACATTATTTTAGAAATCTCGTATTCCCTGGTTTTTCTTCAGGACAATTATATATGTTGGGTTTTGATAGATAGCAATTATATGTGAGTGGGTTATGATGCTAAAATTCTTGGGAAGTACTGTCCTAAAAAGTAATCATTAATGACTGGGGATCTGGATACCTGGAAGTCTGGAGAGTTGTAGTTTAACTATAATACTTTGGAAAACTAGAATTGATTTTTAATTTATGCTATTCTTGTTATGTAGGGGAATGAAATAAACAAATGTATTAGTGTATTGTTGTAGTGTGATTAGCACAAAACTTGGAAAAGGTATTAATAAGCACTTCTTATGTGAAACTAGGAAATGGCTGATGGAATTGATCAGGCAATTAAAGATACTCAAGTATTATCTAAAGACTATCTCAGTTGGGATTGGGATCTTGTGGATTGTATTTTAAAGGTGATTTTTTTTTTTTTTTTTTTGGTATTATGTTATAAATTTATTTTGTGTGTGTGTGTGTATATATATATATATATATATTTCTTGTTTAGAATTAGCAATTGTTTTTGGTAACTTATAAGATATTATTTGTAAGTCTAAAATCTGTAAATTTGCAAATTCTTTATTGATAGTAATTTTTTTTTTTTTTTTAATTCATAGAATCCATCTGACTCTTTGAAGAAATTAGAAGATGCCAATCATCGGATATTCCTTAAAAAACTACTATATTTTTTCAAACCTAGTAGCAAGGAATTTTCAGAAATGGAGTTCGACAAAGATAACGGACGACAGATTTGTATTACTGGCTGTCATTTTTTGGAATTTTTCTTAGAGCTTGATGAGGTTATTTTGAATTTACAATGTCCAAATAATCTAATAATAATAGTTTGAAAGTCTAAATAAATAATAGTAATTAAAATAAATTAGTGGTGACTAGATAACAATGTTTGTAGTAATCTTTTTTCATAATAATAATGCAATTAAGATGAAAGAAATTTTCTGTTCATATCCTTTGTTGACCTCATAGATGGTATCTCACATAAGATGCCTCTGAAATATTAATGTGTTTTGACGGGAAGTGAAAAGGAGGCCTTTCATATCAGAAACTAATATTAGCTCAATATGTTAAAGCATTCTGCAAGAACGCTAATTAAATGGTCTAAATAGGTTACTTTGATTAAGTAAATATATTTTTCTTAAATTTTAAGTTAAGGAATAAGTTCAAATAATATATATTTTACATATTAGACTTTGCATAAGGTTAACAGTGTGGCATTTTAAAGAAAAAGCATTATCTTAAATTCAGCCCAGTATTGTAATTGTAATTACTTTTTTATATTACAAATGTATAAATATTTTAAAAATTAAACAAAAATTTTATTTAAAGATGGAACAAATTAAAAAGATTTAACTTTCAGTACACTAGTGGGCAAAACTTAAAAAAATTCATTGTTCAACGTATGACCATAAAATTGTCGAAAAGGTCTCTTTGCAATCTGTACAATGAAAAATCCCCTCAGTAGAAAGGTGATGCATATACAGATATCAGCACCATGCCATTAGGGGGTACACCTGGGTATGCAGACATGAGAAGTAATTGTGTTAGGAAATTATAATTATTCAGTTTAAGAATTGCTCATTCTCTTTTTTCTTATTCTTACTAATAAGAGATGACTGATTTTCTTTTGTATATAACTATTATATGACTTTTAATATGCATCATTCTTGCCTCAGGATTGCCATCTTTAAAACTGGCAAGTGGTGTCTCTATTCCCCTTCAATTTTGAAAGGTACTTGGAAATAAAAAAATTTGCCTTTAGATACAAAATATGGATTCATTTTTCCGGTGCCCATTGATTTTATTTATAAATCAATAAATAAAGTGATTAGATTAAATAATTAAATTAGATTAAATTAAATATTTATAAATCACAGTGGTCACTGTGATTTTCACTGTGAAATAGAGCAAAACGGAATTTTAATAGTTCAAAGTTTTTGAAGTTAAGATTATTTTTTACATATTCCTTTACAAATTCCAATGGCCATCTTATATGCTTTTAGATTGAAGTTTTTGTGATATATTGCAGTTGCTGTTTTATGGCAGTGTATTTGAAGATAATGTTCTATCTATAATCAAATAAGGATTTAATTATAATTTTTTGTTTATATCAACTATTCTATATTCTGTATTTTTAATAAAAGTGTATAAAACTTTTTAGGGGCTTAAACTATCACCATTTCATTTATTCTGCATTTTGAACTTTACACTAAATAAAACTGCTGTCATGTTTTTAAAGTACTTATTAAATATAAATATTTGTAAAAAATAATAAGTAATTTTTTAGTTAAAACTTAAAGTTCTATTATCAAAAGTAAAAGCATTTTATTGTTGAGTAATTAATTACCACCATTTATTTTTAACAGAATAAATCACAAGAATATTTAGATGATTTTCTCAATGATCTGAACAACTGCCTGATTCAGGTATGTTATTTCAATCTGTTTTTATTAATATTATGTTTTTGTATTACTTGAATAATTTATTAGCATAGTATGTCTTCAGAATAAAAAAATATGTATTTAATTTAAATCCTTAAATACTGAATTTTATGAAACTAAAGAATTTAATTCTTGAAGTAAATTATGCCAAGAACAGAAGTAATTTTTTATAATTAATAATTTTTTATAATTATTAAGAAGTAATTTTTATAATATTTTTATAATTAAGGCTAAACAATATAGTATCATATATATGTCTTTTTCTTTTTCAGTTGACCAAAGATGCTGATCGTTTAAATTCAGTCCTTAGTCCTATAAAAGTTTCAAATACATTTAGTCAAATGTACTTCCTATTTATTGGAAAATTATCCAGCACTCATAAAGGCTGTAAATTTCTCAACAGGTGTAATACTTTTCAAAAGTGCGTATTGATTAAGTTATATATCTTAGAAATATATTTATTTATTAACTGTCTGCATTTAGTTTACCCCTCCATCTTATGTTTTTCAGCCTACTTCTTCTTGTAACCACCACTAATCAAGATGTTTACATAAAGCTAATAATTTCTGCTTTGGATTACACAAAAGAAGGATTTTCAAGAGCTATCCTTACTAAAGTTTTAACCGGAACTGATGAAGTATGAATTGTACATAACAATTTTTCCATGGTCTGTTTTATATTATATGAAGCAAAATGTTTAAATTTATTTGAATGTTTTACATTATAAATGCAATAGTAAAACTTCTCTATGTGTATTTTTAATAAAATATCTATTCAAAACTAATGAAAACTAAATAAAAAAAGGGGGAGAGAATCTATAATAGATATGTCAGATGATATACAATTCTCAGACGATATGTAAGCAATCGAATGTTACAGTTCTCATTTATGCTTCAATTTTAAGGACAGTGTTTATGTCTAATTTTTGTTGTATTGCATCTTTCAGTCCTGTTATTCATAAAATTGTGTATTTTTTTAGGCAACTCGTTTGTATGCAACAAATTTTCTTCTTGTGTTATTGAGAGCTAAATTACCAGATTATCGTAAATGGGCCATTGAGGTGTTAATGTATCAAGTTCATGATACTAGCAAAGTAGTTTCTGATGCTGCTATGGATATTTTAGATGAAGCTTGTACTATTCAGGTTAGTATTTTAAAAATTTAGCAGAATTTAAGTTTGCTTAAATTCACTTTAAGATGTTGAAAAAAGGATAGATATTTACATTTACTAAAGGGCAAAATATTTTCATGAGCTGACATGCAAAACCATGGCTTAGTTTTATGTTATTTTCATATTTAAAGTGTTTCCATAATATGCAAACCAAAAGTTTAAAAAATGTCAATATATTCCTAAATAAACTGTCAGAAACAGAAAATGTCATGTTATGAAAAGGTCAAAAGACTTTTATCGGCTGATCACAATAAACTATGTTATGATTGAACAATTATGATTTGGATCTTAATAAAATATTTGAGGTTTAATATGATATGCACTGTATTTTAGCATTAATAATACACTATATTCTGCAAATTGTGACTTTAGTTTTGAGGTATCTTATCTTTACATACCTGTACAATATTGAAACTTAAGAACATATAATACTTTGGTGAACTTTGCATTTCAATTAAAAATGTGACTCATTGCTAAATTGTTGACCACTCATTGATTATCCTTTTTGCTAGCTTCATTTTAAGGTAAAATTTCTTGGTGATGGTAGGTTATTGATGACAGGCATTGCAAAGGTTTATAAAATTGCATTCACAATTCAAATAAATGGTTACATGTTTCAAATAGATGTTCATGACAACCATGGGCTTCTTTCAGAAATTTGTGATTATGGTATTTTCAAAAGTGTTTAAAAAATCTTTCTGCTAAAGTCCTTTTATTAATACTATATTCTTCTTTTTTATGGGGAGGCATTGTTATTATCACAATTTCTAGTGTTCATAGTTCAATCCAATCGTTTGTAGTTCCAGTTGTTCCCCCCCCCTTTCAGGTAGCTCTTGATAAGGCACTGTTACTGTAGAATACTCCTAATCTTCTTATATATTACACCCCTCACCCATCTCCAGCACCCCTATAGTATATCCTACTACCATATTACAGGGTGTTTCATATTGAATGGAACAAAAAGAAAGCATACCTGTGAAAGCTGTATTTTATTTTGATAAATCAAATTTACAGTGAAACTATAGTTATTGAAGTTTGTATAGATGTTCTGTGTTTGCCCCTCTGGTGACACAGCAAACATCTATGCGGTATTCCAGTTCTTGCCACACTTATGATAAGATAACCTTTGTTAATGATTGGAACACTTCAGTTATCTGCTTCTTCAGTTGTTGTAAGTTCTGGGGAAACAGAGGCATGAACACTTTGTCTCTAACAAAACTGTATGGGAAATAATGATAAGGGTTTAGATCTGAGAATGTCTTTGATTAACAAAGCAATGACATATCATTTGACCCAACACAGCCAGTCGAGCGATGGAGTAGACAGTTCTTCAGGTATTGGTATAAATTTATATGCCAGTGTGGTGGAGGATCATTTTGGTGCAGTATGAAGCCGGGAACCACTTCCTTCAACTGAGGGACAACTGCTTTCATAGCATATCATAGTAAATACACATGTTAATCAATTTCTTCATGAAGGAAAGGAATCAAAAACATAATCATTGGAAATGGCCCAGAAAACGTTCAACTTTGGAGAATCACACTCATGTTCCTTTAAACCATGTGGATTTTCCGTGCCCCAAAATCAGAAATTATGGGAATTAACTTTGCCAGAAACATGAAAAGTGCCTTCGTCTATAAAGACAAGTCTGTTAGGGAAATATCTCCCTCCAACTTTTTTTGCAAGCTTCATGCCACGGTTTGGCAGAAGGTTTTAACATCACCATCTGAAAGGGTGTATATCCGGAATTGTAGACATTTCTGTAACACATGCCTCACCGTTACGTAAAGCACATTGAGTTCAGAACTCGCATGATGCATTTATTTTGTCGGACTCCATAAGAATATTTTACAATTTTTTTCAACCACTTTGGTCTGGGCTGCTTTTTGTCCTGGGTTGGTTTTCTAACACAAGCAGCCTATGTCCTTAAACTACTTCACATGCTGTTCGTTGTTATGATAATGTGGTGGTTTTTTACCAAATTTCATGCAAAAATGTCTTTGAATGACGATAAATAATGATGCTTTTGTGTATTCCAAAACACAGTATATTTTCTGCTGTATACATGGTGCCATTTTGATTAATAATGCATCTAGTGGCAATTTCGTAACAAAAAGATTTTTTGCTCTTGCCAGATAAAACTTGTATAATTATAGCGTCAGAATGAATTCATTTCGGCTAAATAAATCAATTACAGAATTTGTACTATGCTATTCTTTTTGTCCCATTCAATATGAAACACCTTGTATTTTGATACTATAATCATCACTAGGGGGTAAGCAATAAAATCTTAAAACACTGGTCGTTCAACCTGGGTTCAAATCCTGGTAACAATCTAACAGGCTGGCCGCAGGAGATGTTTTGTGGTTTTCTCCATGTTAATGTGAATATTAGGCAGTTTGCCATAGCAAATCTTCCACAAAGCCATCTTTTCTTTTATGCAAATAGCCCTTGTTTGCTTTCCCATATTCAGATAATTTAACCAAACTTTTAAAATTAATAATTAAATAACATCAGAAAAATATAATCATTAATTGCTCTTCCTTTGACACCCAGTCGTCCTGTACAGGGTCCATTTCACTGTAGAGAATTTGCATAAAAGCTTTGAGTCAAAATGTTCTGGTGATGCTAGCATCGATTGTGTTTGCCTTGTAGAAGATTGTGTTTGCCTTGTAGAAGATTGTGTTTTGATCGATTGTGTTTGCCTTGCATCATTATTTATCATCATTCAAAGAAATTTTGCATGAAATTTGGTAAAAAACCACCACATTATCATAACAACGAACAGCACGTGAAGTAGTTTAAGGACATAGGCTGCTTGTGTTAAAAAGGTATTTTGCCAGCCATATACCACCAAATCCTATAAAAAGGGTACCTAGGAGACAGTGTGCTATGTGTTGCTTCGAGAAAGGAAAAAATAGAAAGAAAATACCTAGAGACTTGCATTTGGTGTGAAGAATGCCAAGTTGAATTTTGTTGGAAGCCATGCTTCAAAGTTTATCACACACATAAATCTGCATCATGATAATAATGATAAATGAGTAAAAATAATAGTGATAGCTTTATTTCTAAGGTCAGTATAAACAATTCTAAAGTCTTATTTCTAAGGTCAGTATAATCTTTATAGATAACTGAAATTTTTTCCATTTTAAATATTTCTTTTTTTGTTATGTATGTAATTTAATATAAAGCAACATTGATTTTTCTTTAGAAATTTTATATTTTCTGTTTTATACTGAAATTTGTGAAAAACCTTTTGCAACAAATTGGTTAAGAATTGAAATCATGTAAAATAAAAATTAGCCTCTGCATTTTTTATTTACATTACATTATAGCAAAATATAAAATAAAAATATGTTTGATTTGATATGTTAGATATTTTTATAAGTTGTTTATTTAAAATATTTTTTATTAAAATTTATTGTATCTTTAGCAATTATGATATAAATTATTTTTAGAGTTTATAATAACCCCCTTCATATTAGTTATTTGTTTACTTTTTGCCTTAGTTTACATTTTAATTCTTAGATTTGATTTTTTCTTATAATACTTAATTATGTATGAACTGTGATATAATTTTGTATATATAGTTTTCTTTACATAACTGTTATTTGAAGACCATTCAATATATTTTTCTTTAGGAAAACTTGGAAGCTTTAATATCTCTGAGGTCTCCTCTTTTACCAGGAGGTGATAAAGGTCTGCTTCTTCTCATGCGTTTCCTGTCTGTACGCAGTGGGTTCAAATTTTTGCAGGATTCAAATATTCTGTATCATGAAATAAATCATTGGCAGCAAGTAAGAAATTCCTTTTTTTTAATTATTTTTATGATTGTTGTTTTATAAATTGTTTGTTTAAATGTACTTAATAATTTATGTCATTATCTTAATATTGCAGAGTTTGAATTCAGAATGTTACATTGAACCATGATTTTTCTAAATAAGATGATTGCTAATAAATCACTATTCTTTTTTTCAGTTTTTCATCGGTCAGGCGTTTGAGAATGATATTTATGCATAATTTTCTCATTTCCACATTTTTGGCTAAAATCATATATATAATGTTTTTTCTGCATTTCCCTTGTTGACAATCATTCCTATAGATATTTTTAAATTGTACTTGCACACAAGACAACTCACAAGTGATGTTTTTCAGAAAAGTGAAATGTTCCTGTTTATCACCTTGCCTCTCTTAGAAAAATTTAACTCAATTGAATGATGCTTACTATAGCATTCTAAATTCTCCAAATACCTTTTTCAACATTTTATGAATTTCCATTTTCTCCAAGTTTGAAGAGAAATTTCCCTATAATTTATTAGTCTGTTAACAAATTGGTTTCTCTCAATATTGAGAAGTATTTTATGAAAAAAGTTGTTATTTGCCTTATCTCACAGAAGCAAAATTTGTATGGAAGATAAAAAATGCATTGATTATATCAGCCAAGTTTTGTCATCACACTAGTGTTTCCAGGGGGAGAAAAACCTCGGTCCACAGACTGTGTATATTGATTATGTATAATATTTTTGCTAAAATTTCCATAACTAAGATCAAATTAATGCTGAATATTAATTTTCAGGGAGAAAAACCTCAGTCCATAGACTATTTTGGACAGACTGTGTATATTGATTATGCATAATATTTTACTAAAATTTTCATAACTAAGATCAAATTAATGTTGAACAGTAATTTTCACATAAAACATGTAGAGAACATGTTAGTTATAGTCTCTGTTCTAATATACTTTTCAACACAACTATCCATAGTATGATTCTGTCTAATCTTTCATAAACAACCTGCGAACCTCATTAGTTGAAATTTAAATACTTTACACTTAGGCACAGAAAAGATTATAAAATCTGTATATAATTATTAAAGTTCCTACTGATAGGGTTTAGTGAAAGTTAAGAGAACTAAATCTGCTAATATAATTTTAAGCTTAGAGAATTTAATTTTTAATTTGATATTATGTATGCATATTTTCTAGCTATAATTAAGATAATAATTATATGTCTTTCTCTTATAGCAGGTCTTAGTAATATATGATTCATATTTTCTTGTTGAATTATTGATTGCTTTCAGAATTAAACTTCCTCTGCAAATATGATAGTTTCTGTTACTAAGTACTATGCAGAGTAGTTTGTGTAAACTAAATATTACTCATATTAACTAATTTTGTAGTATTTTATCAAAACTTTGAAACTATTTGAAAATATTAAAAGTAATATGTAAAGCTATTGAGACTGTTAATGTAATATAGTTAAACTATTTTCCTGCATCATATTTAGTAATTTCAGAGTTGATAATACAGGGTGTTCATAAAGTCCCGGACCCATTTTGATGTTTAATTAACTCATAAAATAATAAAGATAGATTAAAATTAATAACATAAATGGTTAGATAAACTCAAAAAGTTTCATGACCCTTGTCAATGAACTTCCACGTGTGCCCCCTTCATCGCACGGAGAATATCAAGTTGCTATTCAATTTCACACCAGATACCGGCAAGCATGTCGGCATCCACAGAGGCTATTGTGGTTATAATTCTGGCTTTTAGGTCATCAATGTTCGACACTCTCCTCCTGTAAATGTTGTCCTTTACAAATCCCCAAAGGAAAAAGTCCAGTTGCATTATATCAGGTGATCTGGGTGGCCAAGGAATTGGACCTCCTCGCCCAATCCATCTTCCTGTAAAATGGTCATTCAAAGAACTACGAATGATGGTACCCCAATGAGGTGGTCCACTATCTTGTTGCAAAAAGACATGTGGCTGAAGCTCTTCTAGTTGTGGAAATACAAGGTTTTATAACATGTCTAAGTATACGACTGATGAGACCATCTTTTCTGTAAAAAAGAAAGGCCCAATGACTTGGTCGTGCATTAGTCCACACCACACATTAACCTTTGGGGAATCTCTTTGTGCCTCACAGTATTCATGGGGGTTTTCAGATCCCCATATGCTCACATTATGGTGATAACATTGCAATAGTTGCCAAAAACAAAAGAAAGAAAAATGCAATTAATAAGCAGACGATATTTAGAAAAGCACAGATATTTAGACTGGAAAATGAAATTATCTGAAATTAACCACACGTGCAGACGATATTTTCAAAAGTAAAGATATTCAAACTTGAAAAGGAAAATATATAAGTTATTTCATCAATAAATGCCATAAGTTTGTTTATATCTTCATTATTAATGAGTTATTAAACATCACAGTGGGTCCGGGACTTTATAAACACCCTGTATATAATGAAATACATGGGACTCATATTAAGATGATCTGTGAACACAGCCACATGAAGCATAGACATTGGTTAGACAGAGAGGGAGGGACTTGCAGGAATATACAAACATGCTGACTGCAATGCATTTGATAGTTCATGGACGATGCTAGGGGAGATCTGAGCAAACTACCTTGTGGAGATGGTTCCATTAATTCTTAACTGGGTCTGTGGACTTTGGGGGCCAGAGAAGTTTTCCTCATTCTCTTGCACCATTCACATACATTTCTAGTTGTGGGATGCATTGCATTCTCATACTGAAGGATGCTATCATTCTAAAAAAAAAAGTCTGTGTGTATAAGTGTGCAGGGTTTACAAGGATCAATACATATGTAACGATATCTGTAGTACCATCTGCAATGATGAGTGGACCCAGAGAATGTTGTAGAAACATTCCCCAGACTTTAATGCTGTTTCTGCATGCTGTATTTGCTCAATGGTGGTTGAAAGATGTTTTTTTTTTTTTTTTTTTTCCCTCCAGTGTTTCTCATTTTGCAAACCAGTGTCTGGGAACCAGTTTTAGTGGTGATACATTGTTCCTGCCTATTCCACTAATGAACTTAGCACCGGTGCTCTGCAGTTTTTGCACTACTTGGCTTTTGTATTGTTCACTTTTGTCATTCATGGCACACTTTTACCATAACAGCATATAAACATTTCACAAACTATGCAGTTTCTAAAATGCTGCTAAGCGTGGCCTTGAAAGTCTATAAATCATTCCATTTTGTAAAGTTGATAAATCATTCATTTTGTTCATCATAATAACAATTCAAACATTTCCTGAATACCTGCAACATGCTTTACATATCCACGAAATCTGTTGCTGACACATTCCTTATAACTTTGGTTATTTAGTGCTGAATGTCAAACATAGGATGTGGTCTAATTAATGTGACCATGTAAAATTTATAAAACTATTGTTCGTATTTAATTTCTATACTGCTCTTTTATCAATCTGTTTCTGTTCTAACAAAATAGAACAAAATATGAAGTTAAGGCCAGAAACTGAAGATTAAAAGATGTAGGAGATATTAAAAAAAAAACTAAAGATAAAATTAACAAAAGCATTTTTTCTAATGTATCTACAATATGAATGCAAAGCTTTACATATTTTGTTATGTCTTAATTCTAATGCATATTGCTGACACTTACTAGCTCATGTTTTATTGTGTGATCAAGTGTATCAGGAAGCACTCAAGTGTTAAGAGCATTTTTTCAAAATTCACCAAAATTAACAAATGAGTTTTTATTCTATATTATGTACAATCACAAGCTTTTTAACATTCTTATTAAAATTACTTTTGTCCAAACAAAAGTGAACATCTGCGGTGTGATATAAAATAATAGACAGCAAGATAGTAGAAATTAAGTATATGAAATCATTTAATTTTTATTATGTAAAAGTAAAATGATTTTGGTTTCTATGAAAAGGACATGAAATTACTATGAAGTCATAATTTTAATGAAGTTATATGTTAGTTTAATATAACTGAGCATTTTGTATTATTTCAGTTATTTAAGGCCTAATAAATTGATCTTGAATTTTTTGTCCTAGGTGTATAATCTTAAATATGTTAAAATTGTTGAAGACTTATTAAATGAAGCTTTTACACATCACCGAAGAAGTGATGACGGCACGTATGGGAGACGAAGCTCTGATATTAGGTATGGCAACTTTTGTATATTTTTATTTAAATGAGCATTTCTGCTCAGGAAAAGGACTATTTGAATAACAACTGTTTATTAATGACTGCTGTTTAGTTTTAAAGGTATTGATTCTCTCTTTGATCATTCCTGCTGATGGGAGCAGGGAATTTTCAGGACATCTGCAAAGTCCCCCGAAGATGTCTTGTAGTTGATTTTAATTTTTATATATGAATTGCATTTGTACATTTTTGTTAAATCATATAAAGTCTTCATTGTGTGTAGTTATGCAGAATTTTTTTATGAAGTTTACAAATTTTATTACTTTTCTTTATTTATTATGAGAAGATATGTTGTATTTTATATTTTCTTTTTCTGTCCATAGTCATTCTGTGAAGAATGTTAACTTGCCTCCGCATATGTATGGACAGCTTGCACAACACGCGGAAGGGTTCGAGGTATTAGAAAGTGAACAAGTGCTTCCAGAATTGTACAATGCAATACAGTATCCAAATTTTTCATCAGAAGCTGGCATTTTACAGCTTAAAGCAGCACTATGGGCTGTGGTAAGATTGTTTCTGTTTTAGTTGCTTCTAGGTATTTTAATTAATATCAATTTAGTCTTCTGGTAACTTATATAGTTGTTTTAATTGTGTTAAATTGAACTCACACAATAAAAATATGTTTTGGAAGCCAAGAATATGAATTTGGCGATTACACACAGTATTTTGTTTATTGTATAATTATAATTGTTCTTTTACCCATTTAAGAAAATCTGACTTGTAGTTGTAAAATTAAATTAAGTAAAAATGACATTTTAAAAAATTAAAAACTGATTTAGACTATTTGTGAGTGAAATATTATGAATTCTTTATGTCCGATTTATTCTTCATTTTGACAGTTATTTGATACAATTTGTGATTTTAATTTCCCTACAAAAAAAGTTCTGTTAAATTCTGTGTGTTGGAGTTTTATAATGTGCTTTTTATTGCTGTTAAAAAAATATATATTTTTTAAAACATTTAAGGTGTGCAAATAGTATATGAGATGATAAATGCATAGTTGTTGAGTTCTCACATGTACGAACTTTTGCAGATCTTTTGGAATTTTTATGAAAATCGCTGTAGTTTTATCATTTTACCTGTGAACAATTTTTTTAACATATACGTTACCTACAAAGTTTGAGAATGCCTAAAACTAACTGGCAGTGTATGAAACAATTCATATTTCACACTTTTCCTTCCTTTTTTCTATAGAATGCCAAATGGGGAACTGGCAAAGCATGAATTGCATTTCCGATTCGTATATAAATACAGAGGAGCGGCTAGAAAAAGTAATAGAAAGCACCCAAATAATGGAAAAAGGGAAAACTAATCAGATTATGCAAGAAAAAGGATCTATTTCAAAAAATGTGGATGAAATTATAGTCAATTAATAGTGGATTGCCAACATGATGAAGACATGCTTACTTAAGAGATTTCCATTGGTTATACCTGTTGTGTGTGTTTAAAGGAAACGAGGGATGCACTTGCATGCAAAAAGTGTCGTCAGAAAATTCAGACCTTTTGTGGCCATGCTAATAAAATCAAAGTGAATTTAAAAAAATAATCCCACTGCTTTCCATTGATATCTTGTTTACTTCTTTCATTGTACCAACCCCCTGATGAGATATGCTGTGAATGATGTAAATTTCATATCTGATTTTTTGATTTTGGTATATTCTGCCGATTTATTTCGTGCAGTTTCCCACTGTTCTTCTTCTTCTTTTTTTTTTTTCTGGTTTTTTTACATGGGATCTATTCTAAATTGAATATATGAGGAATTTTAAAGGTATTTTTTTATTTTATTTTACTCTTTTGCCACTACTTATTGCTGCTATCAGCAAGCAGTTGGATTAGGTATTGAACTATTTTTTACATTCTATTCATTCATTATTATAATATTATACACAAACACACTCATGTACACACACATATTATCTTTTCCTTTTAAAATAACTAGATCAGTTCATTTAAAGTTTTCCTCCCCAAAATACAAGTTTTGTCATTCTTCATCTTTTGTTTGCATTGTTTGTTATTTGTTGCACATTAATTTATCTTCATTTCAGTATTTTCTGAAAATTTATTGTCAAATAGTGTGTTAAAAATGTAAAACTTACTTTTATTTCTACCTAACTGATATAAATTTGCTATTTTTATGTCAGGGTCCCTCATATATTTTCAGATTTGTTTGTTTATTATTCTTTTCAAATCTGTTGCTTTGATAGTTGATGATTATTGTGGTCTTCATCATCAGTATCATTGCTGTAAACATTTTCATGTAGGAAATAAAATGTCACTATTATCACTATTAAAAATGTATATCAAATTGTCATCTGCAATATTAGCACAAATTTGTTTAATTAAGGCACAATAACACGCTGAACAAATATTAATTAAGAAGTCAAACAACAAAAATCAATGTTGTATTTTCAAATTTTCACAGGACTAGTTTCGATGGTTTTACCGAACCACCATCCTCAGCTGCAAAAGCAAAAATGAAGGAGATAGGATATAATGATTAGATAAGATAAGCAAAAATGAAGGAGATAGGATATAATGATTAGATAAGATAAGCAAAAATGAAGGAGATAGGATATAATGATTAGATAAGATAAGCAAAAATGAAGGAGATAGGATATAATGATTAGATAAGATTAGAAAGCCTGGACAGAAAGTAAGCTAGTGGCGCCATCTCTTGATGAAACCAGAACTAAAACATAATTTCTTTGAAGGCCGAAGGCAAAGATGGATTGAAGTTAGAATCGTTAACTAGAACAGAAAGATTTTTTTTTTAATGTGAAATGGCTCTAGAAAATCCAGTTCTCCAATGGAAGATGTTTTTTGAATAATTTTGGCAGCAGAAAAATTGAAGGTGTGATTTTTGGACCAACAATGTTGGGCAACAGAAGACTTCTGTGTTTCCTTTTTTCTAACATATGCCTCATGTTCCTTGACATGGAATTTTAAGGCTCTCTTAGTTTGGCCAATGTAAATTAAACCACACTGGCAAGGAATCCTATAAAATACCCCAGGAATTCATATCCGGAATGGGGTCCTTGAGTATGGAACTGGAATTTTATTGATGGGAGAAATAAACAACCCAAAAGTTAAATTTCTGCAAAATATGTGCAACTTTATAGCTAATTGATGGAAAGAAGGGAATGACAACAGAATTTTTATAATCTCCTAAAACAAGAGTGTGCCTTTTAGTGTGTTGAGATGAGAATTTTTTAACTGCTTGATTAATAATGTTGGGTGAAAAGCCCCTGTCAATAGCTATTGCTTTTAAATAATTTAGTTCTTCATCAAGGGATAGTTTGGAGGAGCAAACTTGAAGAGCACGGAAAACATAGGAATAAAATGAAGCTAACTTTTGTTTAGTCGGATGACATGATTTAAAGTGTGGTGGAAGGCAAAACCGATGAAGGTTTACGGTAAACCACTGTAGTACTGAAGTTGGATGTGTTACGTGTGACCAGAATGTCGAGAAAATGGAAGAGAATTGCAAGTCTCAAGTTCAAAAGTGAACTGAATAGCAGGATCAATAGAATTCATTGTTGAAAGAACTTTTTATTTAAATCATCTTTATTACCTTCAAACAGGGTAAAAGTATCGTCTACGTAGCGGAACCATGCCGGGAAGTTTAAAGTTTGAAACAATTTTGATTCATAATAATGCATGTAGATATCAGCCAGGATGGGACTGAGGGGGCTTCCCATGGCTAATCCCTCAGTTTGCTTGTAATATTTATTTTGGAAAACAAAATGTGTTTGTTTCAAACAGAGTTGAGTGAGAGAAATTAGCTCATCAATTTCGATGCAAGAGAAATGAAATTCGCGAAGTCTGGTTTCTAGACATCTTAATGCACCCTCCACTGGAACATTGGTGAATAATGATTTTACATCAAAAGAAACCATGAGTAAATTTCTAGGAGAAATGTTTTTAACCTTTTTTACAAACTCTATTGAATTTTTTTATGGTGTAAATGTTATTGTCTAATAGAGTTGAAAATCTAGAAACTAAATATTTAGCTAATGGATACGAGGCAGTACCTAAATTTGATACAATAGGGCGGAAAGGAATACCACTTTTATGAATTTTGGGAAGAGCATATAATCTGGCACAATTCGCAACAGATGGGATAAGCGAATGTTTTAAGTTGCTTGAAATGATTTGTGAGATTTGATCGCAGTTTTTTTTTTTTTTTTTTTTGACAGTCCGAAGGTGAAGGATCTTTAGGGATCGGATTATATGGTCCTTCGTTTAAGAGTTTAGTGACACCATCGATGTAAGTGTTCTTATCCATGACGACTATCTGGCCACCTTTGTTGGCCTTTGAAATATAATATCCGGGTTAGAATGAATTTTACGCATTGTAGCTCTTTCGCTCACAGTTAGATTTGGTTTCGAAGGTTTATTATTGAATTTCCCATTATGAGCGATAAGATGCCTAATCATTTCGTTTTGTGAATCTGAAACTTTACTGAACTTGAAAGCTTTTTTGATAGGAGCCAGAATCTTTGGAATCGAGGGTTTACAGGTTTGTGAGAAGTTAAAATTATATTTTAGAATTCCCTCTTGTTCTGATAAACTAACATTAGAAATATTAACTATTTTTGTAATGTTTACAATGAGAAGATTTTTGAACTACTTGAACTGGAAGACTGGAAGTTTTTCGAATTTAACCGCAAGGGTGTTTTTATGACTGTTAACTGCATTCTCTGTTCTAGACCAAGACTTTTGTTCGAGGGCAGTGAATTTTGGACATGAATTAGCGAGTTCCAGATGAAGCTTATAGAGCTCATGTTCAATTTTGGACAATTATTGACGTGTATCCCTTATGATGGACCGAAGTAAGGCAAGCTTGCAGTGTAACAGAATCAAAAAAATCAAATTGAAATGCGACTGGAAGGTTTTTGATTAGATTTGAATTGAATGAAATTCGGGATTAATATTTTAAATTAAAAATTCGAAAAACTTTTACAGCCTTCCAGTTCAAGTAATACAAAAAATCTTCCCATTGTAAACATTAAGCCAATAGCTAATATTTCGAATGTTAGTTTATCAGAAGAACAAGAGAGAATTCTAAAATATAATTTTAACTTCTCACAAACCTGTAAACCCTCGATTCCAAAGATTTTGTCTCCTATCGAAAAAGCTTTCAACTTCAGTAAAGTTTCAGATTCACAGAAAGAAATGATTAGGCATCTTATCGCTCATAATGTGAAATTCAATAATAAATCTTTGAAACCAAATCTAACTGCGAACAAAAGAGCTACAATGCGCGAAATTCATTCTAACCCGGATATTATCATTTCGAATACCGACAAAGGTGGCCAGATAGTTGACATGGATAAGAACACTTACATCGATGGTGTCACTAAACTCCTAAACGAAGCACCATATAATCCAATCCATAAAGATCCTTCACCTTTGGACCTGTCAAAAATAAAAACTGCGATCAAATCTTCACAAACAGCTTAAAACAAACAACTTAAAACATTCGCTTATCCTACCTGTTGTGAATTGTGCCAGGTTATATGCTCTTCCCAAAATTCATAAAAGTGTTATTCCTTTCCAAGCCCTATTGTATCAAATTTAGGTACTGTCTCGTATCCATTAGCTAAATATTTAGGTTCTAGATTTTCAACTCTTATTAGACCATAACATTTACACTATAAAAAATTCAATAGAGTTTGTAAAAAAGGTTAAAAACATTTCTCCTAGACATTCACTCGTGGTTTCTTTTCATGTAAAATCATTATTCACCAATGTTCCAGTGGAGGGTGCATTAAAATGTCTAGAAACCAGACTTCGTGAATTTCATTTCTCTTGCATCGAAATTGATGAGCTAATTTCTCTCACTCAACTCTGTTTGAAACAAACACATTTTGTTTTCCAAAATAAATATTACAAGCAAACTGAGGGATTAGCCATGGGAAGCCCCACTCAGTTCCATCCTGGCTGATATCTAAATGCATTATTATGAATCAAAATTGTTTGAAACTTTAAACTTCCTGGTATGGTTCTGCTACGTAGACGACACTTTTACCCTGTTTGAAGGTAATAAAGATGATTTTAAAAAAAAAAAAGTTCTTTCAACAATGAATTCTATTGATCCTGCTATTCAGTTCATTTTTGAACTTGAGACTTGCAATTCTCTTCCATTTCTCGACATTCTGGTCACATGTAACACATCCAACTTCAGTATTACGGTTTACCGTAAACCTTCATCGTTTTGCCCTCCACCACACTTTAAATCATGTCATCCGACTAAACAAAAGTTAGCTTCATTTTATTCCTATGTTTTCCGTGCTCTTCAAGTTTGCTCATCCAAACTATTCTTTTATGAACAACTAAATTATTTAAAAGCAATAGCTATTGACAAGGGCTTTTGACCCAACATTATTAATCAAGCAGTTAAACAATTCTCATCTCAACACACTAAAAGGCACACTCTTGTTTTTAGGAGATTATAAAAATTCTGTTGTCATTCCCTTCTTTCCATCAATTAGCTATAAAGTTGCACATATTTTGCAGAAATTGAACTTTTGGGTTGTTTGTTCTCCCATCAATAAAATTCTGAGTTCCATACTCAAGGACCCCATTCCGGATATGAATTCCTGGGGTATTTATAGGATTCCTTGCCAGTTTGGCCAATTTACATTGGCCAAACTAAGAGAGCCTTAAAATTCTGCATCAAGGAACATGAAGCATATGTTAGAAAAAAAGAAACACAGAAATCTTCTCTTGCCCAACATTTTGGTCTGAAAATCACACCTTTAATTTTTCTGCTGCCAAAATTATTGAAAAACATCTTCCATTGGAGAACTGGATTATCTAGAGGCATTTCACGTTCAAAAAAAAAAAAAAAAAACTTTCTGTTCTAGTTAACGATCCTAATTCCAATCCTTTTTTTGCCTTCGGCCTTCAAAGAAATTATGTTTTAGTTCTGGTTGCATCAACAGATGGCACCACTAGCTTATTTTCTGTCCAAGGTTTCTTATCTTATCTAATCGTTATATCCTATCTCGTTCATTTTTGCTGAGTTACAGCTGAGGATGTTGGTTCGGTAAAACCATCAAAACTAGTCCTGTGAAAATTTGAATATATAACGCTGATTTTTGTTGTTTGAATTACAAATTTGTTTGTCCTCAGTAGTGAATTTTTTTCTTTCTAAAGACATCCGTAAGGGTTTCTTTCGTAATATTTTTAAGAAAAGGTATTTGATCGTGCGTATATAGCCAAAAATAACATGCAACTGAAACAGAGAGACATCAGTCACAGTTAACCATCAGCCAGACACTGGTTGTTTACATTAGGACCCGTCTACAAACCACGAGCTTGACACACATTTGAGTTTAGTTTGCTGGAGCTACAGTGGCTCTCACCTATGGTTTCTTATGTAACCCAATTTACTGCTATATATTTGAGAAATAATTTTTTAACATTGGATTCTTTTAGGGGCACGTTGGTTCTCATTCATTGGGACTGGCATCAATTTTGAAGGAAAATATTGTATATCACATAGTGAAATTAGCTGCTGATGCACCTGTGCTTTCTATAAGAGGGTGAGAACATATTGTTGATATTATTGTTACAACAGAGTGTTTTAATTTTTTGTTTGTTTCCTGAATTGTGAATTTCTTAATTTTTCAGTGAAATGTAAAACAGTGAATAATTCAGAAAACAGTTATTGTTAAATTACATTATGCATAATTCTGGATTTTTATTTCACCAGGAAAGGGGTAAAGAATGGGACTTTCTTTCTTTTTTCTCCCTCCCCCCTTTTACAAGGAACCAATTGAACATTTACATTTAGTTAAAAATTCTGATATCTGGAATTTCATGTATTGCTAAAATTATGATGTAAAAAATTAAAATTCATTTGTTACTTACTAGTGAGAATGTCCAAAAATATGAATTTAACATTCATTAATTTTGGTAGAGAATCCAGAATCCAAATAATTGCAATAGGCAGTAATTTCATTCTTCTTCATTACAATGTTTTGTCTTTTTCTTTGTTTTTAAATATAAATTAAATCTTACTTCCAAATTTTATCTGCTTATCTTTGCTTGTTTTAATTAGTTCTGTTTCAAGACTGATTTTTTTTATTAAGATTTTTTTAAATCTTAGACTTTATTTTTTGGAATTTTTATTCTTCCTTAAGTAACTTGTAATACTATCACATATTTTAACCAATTTATTCATCATTCTGTATAGTTTCAATTGTATCTACATCTTTCTCTATCTTTTCATTTCTTAATGTGACCTCTATTATATTTTATCCATATTTACATTTTGAACACTATAAATTTTCAGATTTACGTTGGATTCAGAATAATTGAGTGAGTGTGATTGAAAACATCTTGTTATAACCCAGTTTATAATAACATTTTATGACTTGTACAGTTCTTATCAAATATATTCCCAAATTTGATCATTGTAAGCATGTTCTGTTGCTAAATTGTATTATTTTTATCCCTATTAGTAACAGCATTGATTTTTCGATAATCAATACAAGGCCGAGGATCCTTTGATGAATATTCTATCAAAATCATGGGAGATGTATAGTCCGATTCTCCCGGCTCTATAATTTTAAGATCGAGCATTTTCTGGATTTTCTTTTTGAGAATTTCAGTCTGTCAGGGTGACAGTCTGTATGGCTTTATTTGTATTGGTTCGTTATTTAATAGCTCAATATCGTGACAAACTAAGTTTGTTAGTCCAGGATTATTTGAAAAACAACCAGAATATTTCCATAAAATCTTTCGTAAATCTTCTATTTGCTCGGGTTTCAACCTTTTCTCGAGTTCATTCTCCTCTATGATGTCCGAGAAATTTAATATACTTGGATTGGAAGGTAAATGAGGAATGTCCATTTCTAAGTCTCCTTCCACTTCAGTTATCATATTAATCATTTCTGGTCTTTTGTAATATGGTTTAAGCATGTTAATGTGATATACTTGATTTGGCTCATTTTGTTCCTCGAAACTTACAATATAATTGGTTTCTGAAATTTTCTGCTCTATTTTTCCAGGTCCTTTCCATTGTACTTCTAGTTTACTTTGACGATTCGTTGATAAAACAAGAACTAAATCTCCTCTAGCAAATTCTCTTTTCACTGCGTTTCGATCGTACCATGTTTTCCTCCGTTGTTGAGCTTCTTTCATGTTTTCCACGGCAAGTTCTTGGCATTTCTTCATTCGATTAATAAGTTCGAAAACGTAACTGACAACATTATTACTTTCTTCAATCGGTTCTAGCCACTGCTCATAAAGTAAAGTGACTGGCGTTCGTAGGTTTTTGCCATGAACTAATTCTGCTGGTGTAAAACCAGTGCTTTCGTGTGTGACTGTTCTGAGAGCAAAAAGAACTGATGGTAGATAATTCTCCCAATCAGAAGTCGCTCCTATACATACGACTCTTAACACCCTTTTTAGCGTTCTATGGAATCGCTCAACGGGATTACTCTGCGTGGATGATACACAGAGCTTCTTACATGTTTAATTCCGAAACGCTCCAAAAATTCCTCTGTCAAAGCACTGACGAAAGAGGTCCCCTGATCTGTTTGGATCACTTTTGGGAAACCCATACGACTGAAAATCTGTAAGAAAGCATCAATCACAGATGGCGAAGAAATGTCTGTCACCGCAACAGCATCTGGATATTTGGACGACATACACAGAGCTGTAATAATATATTTTTTTCCAGTCTTTGAAATAGGTAGCGGACCAACAGCATCGACATTTATTTTAGTGAATATTTCGGAAATTACTGGTACTAATGTCATTGGAGCCTTGTTTTTGTCATTTTCTTTTCCAGCGCGCTGACAAGCATCACAGGTTCTTACAAAATCTTCAGTTTCTTTGTAACACCTCGTCCAGTAAAAATATCTAGCAAGTCTTTGGTCTTTTTGACACCCAAATGACCAGAAGTTCCTTCGTGGCACATCTTTATAATTGACGGCTTGAGTTTTTCAGGTATAACGACAAGCTGTCTTTCAAAGCCCATTTTATCCGTCGTTTTTTTAACTAAAAGCTCTTTTCTTGTCAGACTATAGTTCTCATTTTTGCATGTACCTTCTTTAACTTCTTGGATGATTTTAGACAGTTCCTTATCAGTAAGCTGAAGTTGTGCAACTTCTTCTGAGTCAATGTTTACCAGTTTCATGAGAGCTTCATCTTCCGTATTTAGTTCCGGTAAATTATCTTCTTCTTCAAAAACATCTCTGGATGCTTTATTTTCTTCCTCCATCGGTTCCAAGATTTTCTCTTCAGCTATTTCTCTTTTCTTTTGAGCTCTAGTAGAGACAGCATTAACCTGGTGAGGACAAATATCAAGCTCCTTTCCTTGTTTATTAAACTGTGCAAAAGTTCGATTGCCTAATAAATACCTTCTTTGTCGAGTTCATTTCTAATAATGGCAGCCTTAGTTATTACTTGCCCAAGATCGCAATTTAGTTCGATCTCAGCCAATGGTAAACAGGTTGGATTCAAATCTAATGGCTGTTGCACCCACACATTTTCACCTGTCAGCATTTCCTGCGTGATGTATTTGCGACAAACTATATCAATACTAGCACCTGAATCCCTTAATATAGGAATTTTATGACCATTTACGTAACCCATACTAGTATAAGGTAATAGAAATTTATCTTCTGGTTTTGCACTAATTCTGTTAAGATTAGCAGGAAGATTCAGTACTATTCTTAAGTTTTGGACATTGGGGTCTTAAATGTTGATAGGACCCACACTGATAGCATTGTGGCGTCTTTCGTTTTTCATATTTATCATCTGGACTGGACGTCGGACTTCTAGGTCTATGAAACCAGCTTTGCGAATTAAATCCTGATGACAATTTTTTTTTTTTCAGTTTTATTTTTATTATCTGAACTCAATTTACCTTGAGTTAGTGCATTGTATCTTTCTTTCTGCCGATCCACTACAGGCCTTTTTTGAAAGTTTCCGCAAACGTTTTCATAGGCATCAAGTTTTTCAGCTAATTTTTTAGATGAAATCATCTCTACCCCACTCATCAAGAAAATGATCTCGAATTTCAGGAGGAACTCGACGTTTAAGTTGGTCAATCACCATCAAATCTAGCAACTGATCAAAAGTCTTAACTCCTAGACCAGTCACCCATTCTTTGCAATAATTTTTCTATTTCATAATTGAAATCCACCCATGTGGATTCGGTACTCTTTTGATGTTTCATAAATTTCTGCCTAAACTTTTCCGGGCTTAGTTTAAACCGTCTTAACAATAAATTCTTCACGTGTTCATAGTCTTTAGCTTTATCGGAGGGTTCTCTAGCTATTAACTGGGTTACTTCGTAAGGAAGTAGTCCTAGTAAATGAGATACAAATTCTTCTTTATCAATTTTAGCCCATTCTGCTTGCCTTTCAAACAATAGCAAATATAGACTGATATCTCCTTTCTTGTCATCGAATTTCTGCATAAGGTGACGCAGCTCCGTTTTCGGCCGGATCTGTCCGGTATTTTGAGACTTTGTCTCTGCTTCAAGTCTTAATCTCTCTAATTCATACTGTTCGTTCCTTCTCCGCTTTTCTGCTTCTTCCTGTCTCCTACGTTCTTCTCTTTCCCTTTCCTCCCTCTCTTTCCGTTCTTCTCTTTTCTTCCTCTCTTTCCGTTCTTCTATTATTGTGTCTAAGACTCCTTTGACGAATACTTCATCATAATCTCTACTTTCAACAATTTTCTGTTTTAAATCGACTATTTTCAAATCTGCAGTCACATGAACTCCCAGTTCAGCCGCGAGATTTTGCAAATCTTCCTTACGAGCTCTTCCTAAGTAAGACATTGTTTCTATGTTTAAAATTAACGAACACTGTGTTCTTTATACTTCCTCAAAATAGCTCAAATCAATTACTTTAATTAATTAATGCAATCAGGAATCACGGAATTAAATGCACTCTGTTAAATACGTATATCTCAAAAATGAAATATTTAAATTATATGAAGTTCATTCTCTCTACCACATTAATTGTGACTAAAATATTAAGAATAAAAACATAGAGCAATATATATATCTACCGTCTGGACAACTAAAATGAATATGAAAAATAAAATAATATCCAATACAGTAATAAAATAAGACAATTCAATATTAACAGGAAGTAATAATCTAGTATCGCTAATATTGCGTTCAGTGATGAACTAATAACATAAAGCAATTCAATATTAACAGGAAGTAATAATCTGGTATTGCTAATATTGCGTTCAGTGATGAACTAATAACATAAAGCAATTCAATATTAACAGGAAGTAATAATCTGGTATCGCTAATATTGCGTTCAGTGATGAACTAATAACATTAAGCAATTCTCTATGAACAGGAAGTAATAATCTGGTATCACTAATATTATGTTCAGTGATGAACTAATAAAATAAAAATATGCACGATTATTCGATCTCTTCGGTGCCTCCAAAATAATTATGACTGTAATACTTCTTTGGCAATATGAAGCAACTCCAATGATGGAACACAGAAAAAAAATTTATTTAACTCTCAAATGGTGACATAAAAAGCAAGAAGAAGAAAGAATACTAACATTTAAAAGATAAATTACATTCTTCATGCGAGAGTCGCACGTGGTACTGGAGCGTGGTTTCAAATACTGCCATTCACAAATACCTTAATGTTCATCTAATTAAATTATTTATTTTAAACTACAAGATTTTAATAATATTTAAAGCTGTTACACCTTTCTTGGTCTTGATTTAGCTGTACCATATATTCCATGGTAAAACTAACAATAGGAAATTGTTGTGATGCCCGCTTTTCTGAGGCCTATATTAGCTTGTTGCAGTGTTCCCTATTCTTGATGCTTTAAGCACTTGCTTATTTTATTTAATCATTAATGGAGTTCTGGTTACAGTTTGCTTTGAAAATAAAAAAATTGGTTAATTGGGATGTTTTTCTGAAGGTAAAATAAATGTTTTTCCTATACAAATGTTTTTCTTTTCTTATATAATTTATTTTTTACAAATTGTATTGATTTTAACAAAGATTATACAATTAAAAAATAAAATATTTTTACTTCCAAGAAGAAAAATACAAAAGCCCTCCTTTTTTTTTGGCAAACTTAAACAATAAAAGATATATTTTTGTTTGCAAAACAAAACATACAGCTAAAATAAATTTGAATTTATTTATTTAAACTGGAAGAAACAATGAAATTAATCTTTATTTTTGGGAATAACTAGCTACAGTTATGATAAATATTAAGTCAAAAATTCATATTTTTGACAATATCAGAAGAAGAACTGATATAATACTAGTTTGTTTAATCTGATTTAATAAAAAAAGAGCATATTTTTATGGCCAAGCAATAACTATTGGCATTAAAAAAAAATGGTGGGCCTGTATACAGAAAGCATGACTGCTTTTCTATTAACATTAATAGGTTACATATTTACTAAAACAACAGAATCTTTTTATCATGTTGAGGGAACAATAGCCCTCCTATTAGCTGCCTTCGTGATAAGTAACCCCGCTTTTGGTCTTAGTAGTAGCCAATGCCTATAAATGGCTAGAGTTTGCCATTGGAGGGGGGGGATCTTTTTATCATGTGTATTATATAAATTAATTTAATAATGTTATTAATATATATATGCGTTATCTTTAATATTATTAATACTAATGAATGAATTAAGTATTGAGATATAAACTAATAAAAAATTTAAGTGTATGTGGAGTAGAAAGAAAAGGAATGTGGATAACTGGACTTATAGTTATTTAAAGTGTGAATACAAGCTCTGTTTTATGTTTTCTTAGTTCAGTTTGTAAATAAATGTGATTTAGAATGTAGTGGTGAGGAAAGGAAGTTTTTGTTCATTATATATTATATTTAATTCATTTTTATATGTTTATTTTGAGGCTCATCTTTTTTTTTTTTTTTTTTTTTTTTTTTTTTTTACCTCTTCTTTTTCTAGAACTTGCTATTTTATTCTTGGTTTATTATGTTCTACGCCCGAAGGTGCTTCTGCTGTTGAAGAACATGGCTGGGAGGCAATCAGAAGGAACCATGATGAAAAGTGGCCTCTTATTAAAGATGAATACTTGATAGAGTATTCACAGTATATCAGAAAATCAACATGGTCTTTTAGTAGTATGAGCAGTGAATGGCATTTAGGAGCCCTTCCTATGAACTTGTCATTTGTTGTACCAAATTCCCAATTTGATTTAAGCAGAAGTCAAAGTGAGAGCTCCTGTAACTCTAATTCAGATGTTTTACAGACTTCTTTATCTAATAAAAGCTTTGCTGGTCTTAAGTCATCCGAAGATTTTGATGATCCTTCTTCATCTGATGATGCCCGTCCTCGTTCATCTTCTGACTGCCAGACTGAAATGAAAGATAATCTACTTTTTCAGGTAGCAGAATCTTCTAGTTGGGATGCACTAAATACTTATTCTTTTTCTCCACCCAGTAATTTTAATAGATATGCAAAAAGGAGAAGCATTAGTACATCAGAAGTGGAGGCTCAAACACTTGAATTGATAGGAAACAGTGAGGAAAGTTTAGAGTTTAATAAACAGCAGGACAATTCTAAAGCAAGTTTAACTGATGTGAATGTTTTATCAGGGCCCATACGGCATTCCAGTGAAACTACAAATATGTTTGCTAGTGACACATCAGTAAGTGGCTCATCAAAATCATCAGATATTTGTACAGAAAGACCATCTTTATTAAAACAGCTATCTCGTGGTCATAGTGTATATAGTAAAAGTTCTGTATCTCCAGATAGACCTACTTCACTTTTATTAACTAGTGCCAGAGATGCTCTTGGTTATGCTACTTTGAAAGAAATTCAACGAAGTCGTGTGAACTCATTGAGTTTTCAGGATTCTCCATCTACAGATATTGATTCTTCATTGCAGCATCTTAAGTCATTGAGTTTAGATGCACATGGAATCAGGAGCTTCAACATGTAATTTATTAATTTTTGTTTTTGTTTAATAAGAATTAATTTTATTTAATATTTCATCTAAATTTTGATTTTTTAAAGGTTTTTTTTTTTTTTTTTTTTTTTTTTTTATTCATTCAAAAATTTGTAACTCATATCAAGATTCAAAGAAAGAAATTGTTAAAAAAACATGAAACAGCTTTTTACCGTCATAATTATTGCCACCATAGGCATAATTATTGCCACCACTTTTGTGCTGATTGAAATTAAATGCAAATTAGTCTACTAATTGATCTTTTGAAATGGAGCTAATTTTCTCAATATTTTTCTTTTGATATGATAATATAATTATTTTCATATAAAAAAGCACTTGTAATGTTTGTAAACATTTGAGTGCTTTATATATAAAGAGGGAATTGTGTTTCTGTCTTATAATATCAGTGTTATTTATGGATTTTTTTTTTTGCTTTAATCTCAATAAATTTATAATATATTTTCATCCATGTTGTCCATTAAATTTTTTTAAATTTGGTCTGTTTCCAAAAAGTTTTTTTGATGAAATGGTGTTCTTGTTTTATAATAAAACAACTGTAATTCATTTTAATTTCAGTTTTTTTTCAGTAGTTTATTTTCTAGTTAATAACTGAGCTAGGAGTAAAAAGTATATAAGATAAGATTTATTTTTGCTCTATTGTCTTCAGGAATATTGGATTAAAAATTATGGAATGAAGATGTGTGTGAAATTTCTTGTTATTTAAATTGGTGTCTGAGAACATAGCTTGCAGTTTTAAAACCTTAATAAAATTCTTTTTGCATTTTTTTTAATTCTAAGTGTATATAAATATATCATTACGAGATTTTTTTAGAGGGTATGCATGTTATATTTTTATCTAATATTTGTATTCACCACTAATATTTACACATTCATTGTTCATCAATTTCAAATTTTATTCAGCAGTTACAGATGTTAGTCCTCACTTAAAAAATAAATAAATTTTGGACTTGTATTTGATAAATGTTTTTACTTAAATTATTTGTTAAAAGTTGAAATCTTTTAGAAGTATAAATATAATATCAACCTTAGCATGTAATTTCTGTTTCATCATTGTAAAATAAAATTTCATTTGAAAATAGTTCAGAATTTTCTAGTGAAATATATCACTTTTGGTATCTGACATTTTGTTACATTATGCAGTTATGAATAACCATAACAATGTATTGGTATTTAGTTGTGATTTCTTTAAAATAGCTGTGAGGTGAAAAATAGTGCTAAGTAATATTTTTTAGCTTTTAATTCTTCCAGAATGCAATCAGTTCTTTTGCTGCATTATGTTTTCAGTTTTTCATGAATTAAAAGTGCATTTGCTTAACTTTTTTGTTGCTTTTTGATGACTAAATATTTCTGTATTGTACCTATGTACTGTGATCGTTGAAATTTTGTATATGGGATTGCTATAATATCTAGTTGTGCACCTTTGTTTTTTTGTTGCAATCGGCCGCACTAAACATTACATATACATATACATATATATATATACCCACCCTTCTACCCGGCTTGATGAGCTGTTTTTTATTCTTTCATATTGGTAAATTGTGCATTTTATTTTGCTTTAAAAGTGATTGAATTGTTGTGTTTTTATATTCTGATTAAGGTTTTAATGTTGTAAGTTAATCTGCATGCAATAGTTGTAGAATTATCAACAATTTTAATTTGTAAGTGACGCTAGGCCTAACTTGGCTGCTGTTTGTACACATTTGAAACTCTTAGAAGTATAGCGAATTAATTAAGCTGATGCACCAACTTTGCTGTCTTTTTGCCGAATGGAATCAAAGTTTAACTTAATTTTTTGCGCACCAAAAATTTTATCTTTTTGCCTTTTGGCTGCATTGCTTGTTTTTCTGTAGAAACTCTATTTGCGAAAATTCTTTTTTTTAATTGATTTTAACTCTTATAGGTTTTTCTGTATGTAATAATTTTTAATGAAGATATTTTGAATTTTTATGTATTTTCCCCTTGCTGTGAATTGAGAACTGAATTGATTAAAGGAGAAATATATCTCTATTGAAATTTGAGGAAATAAGTTTAAATGAAGTACAGAAAAAAATATATATAATTTATTAGGCCTTACAATGAAGTTATGTGGTATCCACATCACATTTTTTATAGTCTTCTCTAGTTCTGGCTTATTGAGTTTATTTTCTTACATATTTATATTTGCGTTAGTGTTATAGGAAAGAAGTAAATATTTCTTGTAGTTCAGAATTTCATGAACTGTAATTTTGAAATTTTGGTTTCTAATTTTATTTTCATCATTTGCATAGTGGTGGGTTTTGTATAGAGGTTTCTTTCAGAATTATGACTTTAAATTCCAACCTAATCTTAAGAACAGATGTGTATCATCTTATGAAAAAAAGTATTATTTTGTGTGAAAAGTTTAATATTTGTGAAAATAAATTTTGAAATGTATGAAATTCAACTTAAAAATTTTTCACTTTGAGGAGATATGTGTGTATTACCTAAACAGAACTTGAATTGATCGCATAGTTTTATATTGAAATTATTTTGATGTTAATGTGCCAAATTTGCTTTAAATTTGACTATCTGAAAGATACTAGATGAGGTAAGTTATTATTTTTCTAGGGATTAAAAATTATGAGATTTTTCTGTTAGAACTGTTGTGGAACTAATAGCTTTTCATTGCAATTCCAAATACAACCATTAATAGTAGTTTGTAATTTTTAATTTAGATTTTCATCTAAATTTAATATTTTAGTTTTGTATACAGTTCTAAATGTTTCTGAAAATGATGGAATTGAGAATTTTTTTGCAAGGTTTGGGTCAACTTTCAGACAGATAAATAGACTTTTAAAGAAGTTTATATATTTTTAATTAAAGAAACTTTCTGTGTGTAATTCAGATTTTCAAAATCATATGAATGTATCAAAATATATGATTTAAAATGCACATATTTTTGTTCACAGTGCCCAAAATATGTTTTTTCATGAAAGTGAAGATGATACTTTAAAATCTTCTAACCATCACCAAGATTCTGGAAACAGTGCTTCTGAACCTCGCTACATTGGTCTATGCCTTCCATCTGACCTAGATTTCCTTTTTAATGTAAGTATGTAATTACTGATTTTTTTATGATTGAAAAACTGTTTTACTTGAAATATTAAATATTATGATAAATAATAATGTATAAATGTAGATGCGCAAACAGCTACATTTTTAGTTGCATAACTTGAGGAGTGTACTGTAGCAGATTTAAATGAGTTCTCAGCAGAATCTTCAGTGAATGTATATTATAAATACATAAGGAAAAACTTGAGTAATTTGTTTAGAGGCCAACTTAAGAGAGAATATGTAGGCAGATCCGAATGTTTCCAGAGTGATATACTTCTAAAAAGTTGTAGATAAAATTTTAATAGTTTAATTTTTGATATGATCTCAAGACCCTTTTTACATTATTAATGAGCAACTGTAGGCTTCCAAAAGTGTAATCCGAGGTTTATCCTCAAAATGTTCTGTGACTGCTCTTATTACACCATCATTATCATTAAATCTCTTCTCATGAACGTCAGATTTAAGTTTGGAGAACATGTAATATCTTACAATGACTTCTAGTCTTAAAATATGCAAGACAGTTAGTTTAGATAAATCCAGTCTTACTGCTGTTATATATATGTATTATGTTTTCTGAAAATTTAACATTTTAATTTAAATGTTATTGACTGGATTTTTTTAGGTGCCAAAACTGTACAATAAAAGCACTGAAGATATTCAAGATGTGAAGTTATCAGATGGTACAATTATTTGTAATATCTAATTTTTTATTTTTAGAGCATTTGACTTATGTTAAATAAGCTAAATTAATTAAATCAGTCATTAATTTAATTTCAGGTGGGTTATAGTTGATGAAAATTACTTAAATAATACTTGATTTTAAAATCACATATTCTAAAATTTATTTATTTTTTTTTATTATAGTATTATTATTAATTTTTAATCATTTTTTAATTTTATTAATTTTTATGATTTAATTGATTTTTAATTATTTGTAATTTATTTTTTATCTAATTGGTACCTTACTCTAATTTTCTAACACTTCAGTTAGTTATGATTATATATTAAAATCTAGTGTTACATATTTCATGTTTCATGTTGTTAAATCACTTTTAAATAGTCAAGTATTTCTCCCGTGGTATTTTCTTAACAGAAATGAAACTGTGCGTAAATATTAAGGATTGTACTAAATTGTAACTAAAAAGCACTTTAATAAGTGGAAACTAATAATGACAAGATTATTAACACATTTTTTCTAACAACAGCCAGCCAATTTATTTTATCAGTTCAGAAAAACTTAAGAAAGTATGGATCGTAATAATTTTTCTTCTGTTGTCAAAATTGTCAAAAACTGATGAAAGAATCCCAATAAATTAAACAAAAAAGACATTGACAGATTAGTAGTTGTGTTAAAAGTCACATATAGAGTGTTTTAACTTCTGTATTTTTATGAATTATGTATAATTATTAATTACAAATAAAATGGATAAGATACATAATAACAGGTGTATTGAATAGAGTTTTTTTAGTACTTCTGCTGATCAGTAAGCATTTAAACTCTGAGGGAAGATAGAAATTAATCAAACATTTAAGAACTAAAAATGCAACTCAACTAATCTCAAATCAAACATTTAAAAACTAAAAATGCAACCCAACTAATCTAAAAAAAGTAAATAAGAGTTTAATTAGATAAATTTTAGTTTTAATTAAAAAGCAAAAATAAATAATACTGTTAATTAGTTTCTTTAAGAAAATACAGTAATAAAGAGGTAATGAATTAAAATATATCTAAATAAAACTGTAACTGTAGATAAGAAAATGAGATGCAGATAAAACTGTAAAGAATAGGAAAATAAACATATGGGATAAAATAATAACAGTGAAATGAATAAATTAAAATAGAAAGTATCTGATATTTCAAGTTAATCAGAAAATAAATAAATAAATAACTTTTTTTGGGGGAGGGGGTCATTGAATTACTGGTTTATGTGTACAGGTTACTGTTAAAGTTCAAAGACTTGTCAATAATAAGATTTATCTGTACATGTCAGTCCCCATTTGTAAGCTCTACATGTCAGTCCTCATTTGTAAGACCTTTTGATGATTGATGCAATGTCTGGATTCATCATGTCATTATAATCCACCATTAAATCCCTATAAAGTAAGTTTTTTTCCTTTCAATATAATGCTGTGGCTATTTGGAGGGCTGTTCCTATTGGGGATGCATAAAAAGTATGCGTGTGGCTGAAATCGGAGGGCAGACGAACTCTTGTGATACCATGCCTAAATATTTTAAATTCATTGTAAGTACTTTTTATACAATTTTTCATATTCAAGTACTTAGTGAGTATGAAATAGATATTTTATTAATCATTGAGCTTTTTTCCCCCCTAATTTGGAAGCAGCTATCTTAGGAAAGTATGTGGGTAGCCAGTGATCTAGGAATGGCCCTGGCTATTTGTATTGTGAATGAAATGAAATGTGAGCCTTTTTCTGAAAAACAACAAAGGAAGACACAAGTCAATAAATTTAAGTGTAATTACACCTGCACTCACCCATGCATTTTTGGTGAATCTTAAACTTTGTTATCCAAAATAGAAATAGAATAATTTCTCATAGAATTCTTATGGTATTTCACTTTAATTCAAAAGTATTTTATTAATGTAAAATAATTTTATTTATATATGTTTGCACCATAGTAAAACTTAATATTTTTCAGAGTTAAGTAGAAGGGCATAGCAAATAAATTTTTGCCCTGTTTGAATTGAAGTCTTTTAAAGGACATTTTATGATACTTAATACATCATAATGCTTTGAGAAATAACTACTGTTAAAAATATTGATGCAGATATATTTTTAAATTTAATTAATAAATCTGTATATTTAAATAAACTTAAATTAGAAATGGAAAAGAAAGAAATGCTTTTAAGCTGATTTTCTAAGTTGAGCTAAATCTTTCACTTGGATAAGTTTTACTTTTCTTTTCTTTTTTCTTTTCTTTTTTTTTAAAGTGATTCGTAAGCATTTTATTAAGTAATCTGCAAATACGCTTCAATTATTTTCTTTAAACTAAAAACATAAAACAGTAAATTTTTTTAATATTTTCATATGAAAATAATGTTAGTGGAAGTGCACTAGTAGTGCTGATAATCACAGATATGATAATTACAGGTGGTTAATATATAATATATATTTTTATTACTTAATATTATTTAATTTGAATGTTAAATAGTTTGCAATTTTTAATTAAAAATATAGTCAATATTAAGGTTTTATTTTATTTTCAGATTTGCCATGCACGCTTGATGTCATATTTGAGTTCCACACAGAAAATAATTGTTTTTGTAATCATTCTTTCAATGATAAGAAATGTTTGCAACAAATAATAATTGATGGTAAGGAGAATCATAAGCTTTGAAGGTTGTAATGTAAAATGTCACCAGCACAAAACTATAAAATTTTTATTTGGTCAATTTTGCTTTTCCAATCTGGTTGTTGTTTTTCCCAAAATAAATATGTTATTTATCAAATAAATATTTTTTCAACTTTAATGATAGCGTTGAAATAAATCAGATTTAATAAGATCCTGCCTATATTTTAAAGTATAATTTTCATCTTTAACCCAAAGTTTGGTTTATCTTTATTTAATGAACTAGAAAAAGTAGTAGTTGAGCATCTATTTTGAGACTTCTTTAGAAGCTTCTCTGACACTCTACGTGAGCTTGTATCAGAAGAGCACGAGCTCATGTAGTATGTCATGGACTGCATCACATCACATGGGTTGTTATCTCAGATGGCCTTATTTGAAAGAAGTTGCTGAAAGAATGCATCTCTCCAATTTCTTGGCTTTTAGCATTTATGCCACAGATGGACTCAATGGCTTATATCGCTGTCAGCTGTTTAGTTCAGTTCACAAGTATCTGATAAAGTTCCAGTTCAGTTTGTTTGAACACTGTTGAAATTAGGTGGTGGTAGTTCAATTAGTGAATGCTGTTGACTTCATACTAATAACTGCAGTGATGTGGTTATTAGCATTCTGTATTTAACATATGTAATAAAATCTTTTATATAGAAATTTTTCGTTATCCAGAAAGTTGTAGTGTAGCTATACAGCTTGAAAATAAATGAAAAAATAACCATGTGTGTGGTGAATTTTTTTCCGTGGCTATGTGGAAAAACTTCTGTATTATGTTGATCTTGTGAATTTATCAATAGGCTTATTATGCAAATTACAGGAAGCCGCCTCTACATTTACCTTGATCTTAACCCTTAGTGCTATATTTGCTTCAGTACAGAGGCATTGCTTATTTGTTCAGTAACTCTGGTGGCTCCGCTGCAAACCCAAATGTTTTTAATATGATTGTTTAAGATGCTATGTCACGTTGGCATTGGTAATTGTTGTCTGTACTTAAAATGTGCTAAGCCTCTAATATTGATTTTAAATTATTTTCTGACCTTATTTATGGTTAAAAATATGGAGATGAATGAATGTTATGATGAAAATTTAGGGCTGAGTTATAGTGAAGATGTACTTTTTTTCAAATTTTAAAAGATAATTTAGAAGACAATGTTGATTATGAGGCTGATACTTCAAGTTGTGGTAGCAAAATTTTATCACCAAAGAGACGAAGAATGAAAATTATTAAAAGTGAAAGCAAAATTGCAATATGTTTGGAATATTATAATTAATTTTACTTTCATTTTTTAAAATTATGTTTTTAAGTCATCACAACATTAATACTTTCCATAATGATATGTACTAATTTCCCCCCTGTCACTTTGAGTTAACATTTATAATAAATTATGCATATCTAAAGGTATTTATAACATTTGAGTACAAGCTATGTTAGTGTTCCCTATCACAGGTGTCAGAAATCATTCAGTCACTCCCTCATACTCTTCTTGTTCTCTGTTTCCTGTCTGGAGTAAAATGCATTCGTGATCCTCGAGTCTGCTCCAAACTCAGTTCTGCACAGTGCTTTTCTCTTGCATATGAGGCCAAAGACCCATATTGCACCTGAAAAATCGTCTTTGAAATTACTGACATGTGCACAGACTACGGTGAATAATAATTACAGTAATTGTGTAGGTTGTGTATAGGAGAAGTTTAAACCTCTGTCCAGATTTGTACTTAGAAGACTTATATGAATGGTATGAGGTTGCAGAACAATTAAAGTATTCCAGAAAGAATTCACTTTTAGTGTATCACCAAAAGACATTGGAATACAACTTCCTTCAAATATTCTAGAGCCAATACAATATTTTAAATTGTTTTTCTAAGATGAATTGCTAAATGAAATTGCAAAAAGAAAAGAAAAACAAAAACCAACAGCTGCATAGAAAATGTTCTGCTCTTGAAATAAAAATCTAGTAACTCTATTTGCCAAATGCGGCGTGATGTGGAAGTGGAAAAGGATGAGTTTCGGGCTTTTTTTTTTTATCAAAATTATCAGTTATTGTCAATGTGGGTACAATACGTATGGCGACTATGCAAGAATACCGGTTGGTTAAGAAGAATATTAGGGTCCCTTTTATTAGCAACATATTATATGTAATTACATACAATTTCTGAAACTGAAAATTCAAAGCGATTTCTTCATTCTCTGAATGATGTTCAGTTATTTTTCATGTTCAATTATTTTTCTTTCTTTCATAATTTTCTGTTAATTTATTGCTTTTGTGTGAATAATACTTGAAAATTTCACCATTAAATTGATAATGATTCCATATAATATAAAATAAGTAATTATATGGAATATATAGTATTATAAGGAATCATTTAAAAATGATTCCATATAATATTTCTGCAAATGTTATTTAATTTCCCATAACTTCAGAAAATTCAAAGGCCGGTCATTTTAATGGGGGAGGGGAATGGGAAGCTGAGCTAAAGTCAAAACTGCTTTTATCTAAATCACCAAGCTTGATTATCGTTTTAAGTATTATGCATGTTTTTAAAGATACTATGTAATAAAATTGTAAAGATATGTAATAAAAAGTAACATATCACAGTATTAAAATCAGAGTTAAGTTTTTTTTTTTTTTTTTTTAATTATTCATTTATTTATTTTGTATTTAAAATGTGCATTAGAGATGTATAATTGTATAAAATTTGGATTATATAACTACAGTTAGCTTTGCTGTGTAACATAATTTTGTATCAATATATTTGTAATAAAATGAAACTTTCTTAATTTTTTACTTAAGATTAAAAGCCCATTTTAACACAAAGCATGCCATGGCTTGTAGTTTCCTAAGAACACAATAATGGGAGATAAAACAACTGTAGAGTGTTTTTTATTGTCCATAATGGGTTTTTGCCTCTCTGAAAGTCTCATTGTTGCCCACTTTTGGTAGCTTTTCATATATATTGTGGCAAAGGAAATACTGAATCTAGAAATATCATCCATAAAGTTCTCAACAGGCATAATCTGAGTATTTCTTCTTTCCAGTCTTGTCAGAGTATTTAAGAGGTTTAGTTTATCTTATTATGGCAAAATACCTGAGGCTATCAGTTCAAAAGTAGGGATGGCTGCTTGGAGAATTATTTAAGGGAACCTGGCTCATATCCACTTTACACTTGGGATATACAGTCAAAAGTCTTTAATCCGGACTCATCGGGACTTCGGCGATTCCGGATTATCGATTTTTCCGGATTATAGATAATCAGTTAAATCTGGTAAGATGGCATGCAGAAATTATAAAACTAAAAATATGAAACCGTAATTTATAAAATAATGAGCAATTATGATCTAAAGGTTATCCAAATTTACCAAAAAAGAAGCCTAATATTTATTTGTTTACTTTATTAAACATTTCTTTTAACGCACGGATGCGTAAAGCATACCTTACTCATAGCCGAAATTAGAAAATTGCAACCAGAAAACTATGTGATTTGTATTCGTGATATTTATAATGACGACGAATTTGATTTAAATCATATCAGAGACGGAGTACATCGAAATTAAATACTACATTTAGTAAGGAATTATAAGCCGACTAAAATAAAAACATCTGCCCTGAAGATAACGATAGTGCTGACAGATCAACTTCCAGTTCATTGCGCGCCGCGCCGTGCCCCCCCCCCCCCCCCCGCGCAGAGCAGCGTGAAATAATTGATAAACAGATTTCGGAACGGTTAGATAAACAAAGGATATGCTTTTATCCATTTTTTGTAGCAATTCGTTTTTTGTTTGATGAACATCGAAACATACTTTCGTTTTCTAGATCCTTTGGGAGCTCCAGCATCGGAAATTCTATTTGACATAATCGAAAGTTCAAGCTTACTTTTAGAAAATTGCTCTTACAGTCTGCAAAAAATAATAAGCCGGATCCAATTTGAAGATTAAGGAACAACGCAATTATCAACATTAACTGAAATAGATAATTAGATAATTTTAGCTTATACCGTCCGTCATACATTAAACGCGCACGCGAAAACGTATTCTGCACTTGCGCAGATGCATATGCGCAGTCGTAAATGTCTTGCGACGCATGCGCAGAAAGATTTTAGCTTTGAGGTTCGGATTATAGATCATTCCGGATTACGGGTGTCCAAATTAACGACTTTTGACTCTCCGAAAGTCTCATTGTTGCCCACTTTTGGTAGCTTTTCATTTATATTGTGGCAAAGGAAATACTGAATCTAGAAATATCATCCATAAAGTTCTCAGCAGGCATAATCTGAGTATTTCTTCTTTCCAGTCTTGTCAGAGTATTTAAGAGGTTTAGTTTATCTGATTATGGCAAAATACCTGAGGCTATCAGTTCAAAAGTAGTGATGGCTGCTTGGAGAATTATTTAAGGGAACCTGGCTCATATCCACTTTACACTTGGGATATACCATGAAAACACCCATGCATCCAGGTTGAATTGCCAGCTTTCACTCTTACTTAGTTTAGGAATCTTATGTACTCCATTTTTCAGGAAGGGGCATAAAAAGTTTAATATTAAAGGTGTTCTTAGAGATGTAATGTCTGAAAAGTCATCTAAATCACTGTCACAAGATCCCACATTTGAATCAGAATTGGAATTGCTGCAGCCAGTCTTAATCATTAATTCATCCACTAACTGTTGCGGAAGTCCATCCTTATCCCAATTATAATTTTCAAGTTTTTCCTCATAGTTGCAATGCAGATGCCATTCTTGAGAAAAGACTACATCTACAGCTTGGTGGAATTTTTTTTTTGGGTTTCCTAAGCTTAAGTCACCAGTTACATTTTTTTTCCTTATTAATCTTTTAATTGATGACCAAACATATTTTTATTGTGTTCACTGTGGTAAGGAGGGAGCCCCACAACATGTTGCCCATTTTCTTTCTCAATGTTAAAAATTTTATAACATAGTTTCTAGGATGATTGCATTCTATAAAGTTGAACAGTTCTGCTTTTCACATTTTGGAGTTGCAGTATATTCCTATTCTCATCAGCCAGTTTACCATTTACTCTGTAGTATACTTTGTGGGGGATGGATCTTCAACTTTAGTTTTATATGAAGCATTGTCCATGCACATCACATTTTCGGCTTGTAAATTTGGAGGAAGCTTCTCTAACATCTTGAGCTTAATGCCTTGTATGCAAGTTGAGAAGCTGGAACAAATCCTGTAGAAGAAACAACATATACAATACAGTCAAAAGTCGTTAATTCGGACACCCATAATCCGGACCTCATAGCTACAAACTTTCTGTGCATGCATCGCGATGTCACATGCGCGTAAGACCTTTACGGCTGCGAATATGAGCGTGCGCGCGCGCAAAATACGTTTACGAATGCGAGTTTAATGTATAACGGATGATATAAGCTAAGCTAAAATTATCTAATTCAGTTAATGTTGCAGATTGCGTTGTTCCTTAATCTTTGAATTGGATTCGGCTTATTATTTTTTGCAGATTGTTAGAGCAATTTTATAAAAGTAAGCTTGAACTTTCGATTATGTCAAATAGAACTTCCGATATATATTTACTAATATGTAAAGGATCTACAAAGCGAAAGTATGTTTCGAAGTTCATTAAACAAAAAGTGGAATTGCTGCAAAAAATGGATAATTTTATAAAAGTAAGCTTGAACTTTCGATTATGTCAAATAGAACTTCCGATATATATTTACTAATATGTAAAGGATGTACAAAGCGAAAGTATGTTTCGAAGTTCATTAAACAAAAAGTGGAATTGCTGCAAAAAATTGATAATTTTATAAAAGTAAGCTTGAACTTTCGATTATGTCAAATTGAATTTCCAATATATATTTACTAATATGTAAAGGATCTACAAAGCGAAAGTATGTTTCGAAGTTCATTAAACAAAAAGTGGAATTGCTGCAAAAAATGGATAAAGGCATATCTTTTGTTTATCTAAACTTTAACGTTTGTTTATCTAAACTTTGTTTATCTTTAATGCTGCGTCGCAGCGTGCAATGAATTGAAAGTTGATCTGTCAGCACTATCCTTATCTTCAGGGCAGATGTTTTTATTTTATTTGGCTTATAATTCCTTACTAAATGTAGTATTTCATCTCGATGTACTCCGTCTTTGATATGATTTAAATCAAATTCCTTGTCATTATAATTCACTTCCGATAGCGAAGAAAGTGATGCAGAGTTTATTGAAAACGAAAAAATTTCGATTGACAAATTAGTCTGTATTCTCGACACAGCAATTATAGGACTTGAACAGCGGAACTTTGTAAGTGAACAAGAAAATTAAAGAGAATGTATTATCACATAAAAAACAAAGCAACTTTAACAACTTACATTGAAAGAAATGTTTAATAAAGTAAACAAATAAATATTAAGCTTTTTTTTTTTTTTTTTGTAAATTTTGATACCCTTTAGATCATAATTGTTCTTTATTTCATTGATTATGGTTTCATATTTTTAATTTTATAATTTCTGCATGCCATCTTACCAGATTAATCACAGAAGTCCCGACGAGTCCGAATTAACGACTTTTGACTGTAGTCTGTAATTTTTTTTTAAATTAACATTCATTTGTGCCCCAAAACTGTTTCATCTTGCCAACATTTCTTGAATGTTAAATTACTATTGATCCATGTTTCGTTGATGTAAATGATGTGGCACAAACACTTTTCTGAGTTTTGTCATTTCTCATAAGAAGTCTATTTTTTCTCTCAACACAGGCAGCAATTTCTGCATGGATGGCACTTTCTTTTCCTTAGGATAAAAGTCCTGTATTATATGCCATATAACACATTTGTCAAAATTATCAATTTCGCAGTTTTGATCAGCAGGCCTTTTATGATTCTTTCCAGGTGTACTTAGAATTTGCTCTTCACCCATTGTTGATGCTGCATTCCTAATGTTTTTAATTGTATATTGTACTCCAATTGCTTGAGATGTTCTTTTCAAACTTTGAGGGAGAATAACTACTAAGCAGTTCACCAAAACTTCAGAAGCATAAAGTTCTGCAGCATTTTACACAACTTCATGAGCCTGAGATTTCTATTGGAAAATAATCTTAAATTAATAAAATTAAATCTTTCTTAAAGTGGAAGCGCATTTTTAAAAATTGGTGATTATCAGAGCACCTCAAAAACCTAGATATATGGAAACAAATGTTAACAAATGCCATTACAAAAGAAATAACAATGAGAACAAAAATAACTGAAAGTAATATAAAGCTGTACAGAGAAGACACATGCAACTAGGACAAAACAGAGATAAATTGTAAACATTCTCTTTCCCCAGCCAACAATTATCAAAAATGAAATAGCAATAAAGCATTCATTTGGGTCATCTCTACTTGAAATATACTAGCCATGTTTTTATATAGACCACCACATACCAGACATTGTGACAAGAGTATTTCTCCAGGTTGACAAACAGTATGTAAGAATCTAGGTGGTGGTGGGCAGTATCAGGCTTGCTTATTTTTCCATTTTGCTCTACCATAATCCATAATGATTCTTTTATTTTCTTACTTTATGAAGGAGAAAAATCATTGGTCAATCTTCTCTCTTCCCATTTATTTGCAATGTGCCATTGCATAGCTACTTGTACCATAAAATGGATAGGTTGTCATGTGTGGCACTTTGTTGCACAGTTACAGCAGACAGCTTGCTAATCAAAAAGTATCTGTATATTAGTCATTAAAATAACCAATTGAATTAAATTTTGGATATTATTTTCTTCTTAATTCTTGTTTTTTATTCTGATATTTTTTTACTATTATATTTTTATTTTACTAATTATATATAAAATAGGGAAAAAAAAAAAAAAAAAGAAGAAGTACAGTCAATTTATAATGCAGTTAATAAATTTATAGTAGTTTTTTTAACATGGTTGTTTCAGAAGAGACAGAAGAAACTTCTGGAAAGCCTGTTCATTGTGTCAATGAAAGGCTGAGAATGCCTTTAGATAGATCCAATTCTCTTAAAGGTAAGCAGTGTTGATTTCTTAATAATAGTAATTATTAGTTTTTCTCAGTAACATATGTTATAAAATTAGTATGATGGCTTTTTCATTAATGTAATATACCTTTCATAAAGAATTTTAATTAAACTAAAATGCAGAATGATATAAAATGTACGTAAATGTATTATGCATGATATAAGTTTGTGCAACACTATATAATATAGTATAGTGGCTAGTAGAGGCTGATATTGCTGCATCTTTGGGCATAGGTTCAAAACTCAGATCATAGATTGTGCTTTATGTCTTTGCAAAATGTTAAGTACTTACAATTTATTTATCCAAAAGCTCTTATAGAATAGGAGACAATTTAATGCTTGTTGCATATGTGGGGAAAACAATAGCACAAAAAAGAAGGATTGTTTAGAAAAGTAAATGTGTTATTACCGATGTTTATTGCTTTTTAAATTTTATTGATTAATTGCTCTTATATGAAATTCTTAGCATGTTGCTGTTTTGATTATAAATTCTTGTTTTTCATGCATTAGCTTCATAAAAAATTAGTTGCTAACACGTTCCCAAATGCTGTGTAGTTCCATTGAGTTCTCCACATTTTGATGGGAGTACAGATAATTAAAAAGTAGTAAATATTTTATTTATGCAATCAAATGAAATATTTATTTTATTTTATTGTATTAGAATTGTTAACATATTTTATGCATTAAGCGCTCATATGGAAAAAGGAATAATTAAGAATTTGATATTAAAGAAGGAATAAAATAACAATTTTTTTTTTAAATTCCTAGCTTTTGATTGTATAAATTCTTTATTAGAAACTTCTTATGCCTCTTATGAGGATTGAATTGAAATATTTATTGTTTAATAGCATGATTTAATGATTTAAAAAAAAACAGTTATCTTTTATTAAATTGTTCAGAGAAATGTAGGATTATATGAAAATTTGGCGCTTTCTTTGCATGCATAAAATCTTTTTACTTTCATGAATGGGTTGAGAGGTGCTGGGAAATTTTAAAGAAGCAAATGTGATTCTTTAAGTCATAAAGCTGTTTGTGAAATTGAAAGGAATGAACTAAATAAAACTTGTTTGTTATATGTCTCAGGTTTATGACTTTGCGGAGCATTATCACATGACTCCCTATTTAACCTTATCGATCTTATAACCTCCATAGATCTTCCATTAAGCTGAGTCTGGATTTTCTTTTTAACATATATAATGTTATGGTTTTTGTATTGATTTAGCTATTTTTAAATAGAATTTGTAATTAAAATTGTTTTATATGCCCGTGCAATGCAGCACGAAACTTATTTGAAGGCGAACCTATGCCAGAGAAGTTAAAATACAGGAGCATAAGCTTATAAAAGCTGGAGAAAAACATCTTATTTCAGTTGTTGTTTGGATAACTGTTGTGTTTACTGTAGCGAATTTGTGGTGAAATCGGATTAGCTTCCTCTGTTTTGAATTAAGTTCTGTTGAACATTTTAGTAGTTTAAAAGATAACTACTATGGGATATTGTGATATTGTACGGATATCTCTAAGGAAATTTTAGCATCTTGTTTTTATTTGTTGTGATAATAATAAATTTTATTCACTTTTCATTGGACTTGTGTGTTTAATTTATTACGAACCTGTATGCATGCAACAATAATATATATATATACATCTTAACACATCATTATTTAATGAAACAGCTTTCATAATAAAGCATTTAACTGAAGTTCTGTTTTACTTTTCTTTTTTACATTCAGAAGCTTAGATATTTTTGAATTTGACAGAATTGATTAGCATATCCATTTTCTGTATAAACAAGCATAATTTTGAAAAACGGAAAAATAAATGCTCAAAATTATCTGCTGTACGTGTTTAATTTTGAGATAACTATCCACATTCTGTGCATACCACAATGTATTTTTTTAACAGTAAATTTAAATTCAGTGTTGCAAAACAATTAGTATTTGCCTAAATTTTCTGTTTATTATTATTTTGTTTAACTAGATATAGAAGGGACCATTTAATCTGATTACGTTGGTTTGATAACTCTACTCAAATGATAATATTAAATGATGGGAAAAAATACCCTTCAAAATACCAGTAGAATTTAATCAGTTTGATGTAAATTAGCTAGAAGGATAATACTTACATTCATGGCATTTTAATTTGAAAAAAGTTATTGACATTAAGTTTATTTTTGAATTATTTTTATTCATAATGTTTCTGGGAATTTCTGACTAATGCTGTGCCCTTAATCTTAATGCTTAGACCGCATCTCAGCATTTGTAGGAAATAATTGATTTCATCATCAGCATCTTCAGAAAGTTTATAACGTGATGTTCTTCGATTTGTTTTAGAAAGAAATAGGAAAATATCTTTTTCTGTCATCAGTGCTGCAACTTGAATTTTATCATCAGTAATCACCCAAGCATTGAATTCCTCAGAGTTTATATCAGTTGAAGACATTGCTTTCTTTTCTTCAGTTTTCTCTGTTTCATCATTTACTAAAGAGCTGGCATGCTCAAAACAGATCTTTATTGTCTTGAGTATTTCCTAGGGCAGAGCATAAATTAGAATATGAAGCTCAAAATACAGTGAAGAAATTTTTTATGCATAAAAACCAGGTCATTAGATTTCAAGCACCCTCAAACTGATTAGTCTAGTTCATCTGCATGAAACTTGCCAGGTTCTTTTATGCATTTGATTTAAACCAAAACCAGAAGTTTGATGACTTAATCCCTTGCTTTGTGACTTTTCTCTGTCATTTGGAAATTTCTATACTTTGTTTTGACTTTATTTGATGACTTTACTTCTGTTTAAAAAATTCATTTTACACTGTTTTGATTATATTAATTATTATATTTATTACCTGTTGATCGCAAAGGTTCATGTTTTCATACATTTTTTTTTTTTTTTTTTTTTTGTTCAGGACTTTGGCAATTTGATAACAATATCCAAATTATGTGAACGAATGTATAGTTTGATCCTTCTAACTGTGGAATCAGTTTTGCAATTTATAGACATAATTCCATAGCTGCAAACTCTGTCTAGTTTTATTGAGAATCATCTGATTTATCATCATATCTCCTGGTCACTCAGTAGATTAACAGCCTTAATTTTATCCTTTATTAAGGAAAATTTTTTCAGTAATGAAGGAAATTCATTGATTTAATGAAACTTAAATTGTGCAAATTTTATTTCCTTATAAGCAATGATTTTCAGCATAATTTTTCTTATTCAATTTTATTTGATCTCAGTTATTTTAAACTATTATAGACATTTGTAGAACTTTACATGAAGATTCAGTCAGTGTTTAATCAGTTAATATTTCTGTTCATTTTTGCTTTACATCAATATATGACACATTAAATTTATCCACACAATAGTATGTATATTGATTGCTAATTTTATTTTTATCATATTTAAAAGTGTTTTGATAAATAAAAGCTTTCCTTCCCTGTGTAGGATTTTCTCGGTATAAAAGTGCAAGAGAGTTACAAAAATTAGTCAAAGAACATAAAATTTAGAATATCTAAATAATACTAGCATATTTTATATCTTAATCAAACTGCAAATAGTTGAATAACTGTAATTATGCATAAAAAGCAAATTAAAGTCAGTTTGGATTTTTCAAAGTGGTGCCTCTGTTTAATACGAAAATCTCTCTGGTATTTCCTGATTTTAATGCAAGAATCTCCCAGTTTTTCATATTTCAAGGTTGGCAGCTATGCATGTACCATAAATATAATTTATATGTATTAGAACATAAACATAATTACTCAATTCCAGGATAGTATAGAGTCTTTTTTTCTATTCTCTGTATGAAAGCTTCTGATCCTGGATTTTTAGTTCTAAGATAATACAACCCTATATTTAAAATATCAATTCTGTGGTATTTATTTTATATTTTAATAATTAATAATTATTTGCTGTACTTGATAAAAAGTACAGAATGGTGCTTTCAAATTGTTGAAACAAATAACATATTAATCAGCTGAAAAAAAAAGAAGAATATCCATTTTGTTAAAAGTAATCATTGATAAGGATTTTATTAGCTTAGCAATAATAGAGATTGTTTAAATTTCATTTTATTATTTTCCAAAGGTAAGTCAAAAGAGGAGTGTCAAAGCAGCCAAAATTTAATTCGTAAAGAAGCTATGCGCTTTGTTATCAATCTGTGCAGTTCTGTAGCAGTTAAAGCATCTGAGCAAGGGTTGTTAAAGTAAGTTTTAAAAATTATTCTGCAACTTGAAATAATTATATGTAACTGTACTATAATATTGGCTAGCATTAAGTGATTCGGCACAATAATTAAGATATTTTACATGTGTAAAAATTCAATGCTTTTTTCCTATAGTTTCTCATTTAAGACCTATCAAAGAGGTATTGTACCTAAAGAAGTCCTAAAATGTGTATTTGCACACATACACAAAAATGAGTAAAGACAGAGTAAAAAACAGATCAAAACCTAATCCAGTTGAACGCTGAAAGCAGCAACAAACAATTGGGGGTAATGATGCAAGATTAAAATTTATAATATGTTTAAAATTCATCCTATATTCAGTTTGGAATAAATCATTTGCAAAAACCCAAAACCAGAAGCACATTGGCAAATTGCAAGAAAAGGGGGTCAAAACTAAACCCTTTGCTTCATTCTCATCAGGAGGTTGGTACAACAAAAGAAGTATATAAAATCATCTTGTTTCTGAACTAATAAAGGTACAAATTAAAGTTTAAAAAAGTAATCTAAAAAAACATTAAAAGTAATCTGTGTCTTTATCAGTCCTACCCATACTGGCTGAAGTATGCAGTGTAACAAATCTCAAAACTACAGCATCGAAAACGTAAACAAATTTAAAAAGCATCAATATATTATTTTGAGCACACTGAGTTCAAAACACAAAGCATTCAAATATCTGACATTTAAATAAACATATTTAAATTCCGAAGTTTAAAATTCGACAAAAACATATTTAAATTTCGAAACCATGCAGGCTGAGCTAAGAATTAAAAAAAAGGGGGGGGACCAGCAAAATCATAAACAAACAAAAAAACTTAAAAATCTAATAATAATTTTCAATTTAAGTGGAAAGCCACTTAAGTAAAAAATTTTATTTACTTCTTCCATTGCACCAAACCCTGATGACAATGCAGTGAAGGATTAAATTTCTTATTTTATTTTTGGTTTTAGCAGTTTTGCCCCCTTTCTGTTGCAGCAGGAATTTTGATGGCATAGAAATGACATGAATAGAAAACTGGCAGCTGAGGTGCATTAAATCTTCATTTTATTTCAGTAAACATGTTGCAGCCACAAACAAGTTAGTACATTATTGTGCCTATTGCAAGAGGTTTACGTTTTTAATAACTTTGCAGTAGGAAGGAAGAAGTCGACAACAGACCGGCTAGGCTGAACAGAGTGAGCAAGTGCATTATGTTATGGGTGAACTCTTAATTCAGACTTAGTTTTGGTTCTCAGTGCATTTTGATTGGACAATTGAAACTGTTGTAAATTTATTATTGGCTGTTTTAGTTCTATTTACATCATCAGATAACACAAGAATCATATGCCTTGGATTAGTCTCGAAATGATGCAATCCAAATAGAAATTGCTATTTTTAGAAAACAGAGGGGAAATTAATTCATGTTGCTAATTTAAATTATAATTTATCTTTTACATATTTTTTTTATTCTTTCTTACATATCTGAAACATATGCATTTGTGTATGCAATGGAAGAAAGGCAAACTGACTAAAAAAGACATGTGAGGTTAGTATATATACATGTGTGCGTGTGCGTGTGCATACGTATAATAATTCTTTAGATAACCTCTAATAATGGCCATGGTCAAGATTGTTATAGATGTGGCTGACATATAGGTGGAATGTATAGTAGAAGACGAAACTTGCAAGCATTGACATAGATAACTCGACACATAATTTTTATTTCTTGTCACTTAATTTTTGCTGTCCACATCATTTTTGGGTTGTGATATACTTCACACTTTTGTTTATCTTCCGTATCTTAAAACAGTGTGATTGCAGATCCGCAAAGATGTGTGGTTAACAACGAGCTGTGTATTAGTAACAGGGGAAAAGCCTGTGCATTAGTAGTAGTGATATTTATAAACTTGATTTCTTTGTTTAAATTCTGGATTTTCGATTGATACAAGCTGTGGCACTGCAGGAAACATGAACAGATTAATTTGGGAAGACACAATCAAAAAAAGTTATTATAAATAATTTAGAGCAGAAAGGGGAGATAACCAAATTAAAATGGGGGATAAAAAGGTCTATTGCCAAATTAAAGTTAATAATTTTGAGTTACATATTTTATATCGTACATATTCACCCTCCTCGAAAGAAAAAAAGGCTGAATAATAATAATAATAAAACTTTTTAGAAAAAGCATTGAAGAGTTCCTAAACAACAAGAGAAATATAATTTTGTGAAAAATCATAAAATTTTGAATATAACACTTTTGATCAGTGAATGCAAAATTTTGTGTTCTATTAAAATTTTCAGTACAATTTTAAAAGTTTTCAAGTTTGTTTTTCTTGGAAAATATTGTAAAGATTGTCTTAAATATTTTAAGAAATAGTTATAAAAGTTCACAGTTCTTGGAATCATTGCTTGAAAATCATTAATGTTTTCTACAGTCCTTGTTCTGAAAGTAAAAACTGTTACAATTAATATGAAACCCAAAATTTTCTCTCATATGTTCATGGAATTCTATTAAAATTAATTATTTACTCATTTTAATAACCAGTATTTTCTTATTGTAAAGCAATATAAAATGTACTATAGAAATTAATAAACAGAAAACTAACAAAATACAATACAATGACAAAGTAAACGTTGAAGAAAATTGGGCAAGTGCTCTACAAACGAACTAGCATAACTACTTGCTGATTGATGGCTATAAATTAAATACAATAGAATGTAAAAACCTCCATGCCTTACACTATGTAACTGGCTTTTAGCATTGTATAAATATATCAAAGCTATTAACTATAAAATATGGCCATAAGATTCTTCAGTATTACATGATTGAAATAAAAGCATAAATATATGAAAATTCAGATTCAAATTAAGATGAATAATTTTACTAAAGTTAGCTCTTACAGATTTAGCAAATAAAGTTTTACATTATCCTAATAATTAAAAAAATAATAAAATAAATAAATAAATAAATAATAAATAAAAAAAAAACAACTTTTGGATTAAAAAAAGCCAGATTGAGAAAAAATCAAATTTGAGAGTAATTCGTCTCAGTTATGGTTTAGAATCTTCATAATCATGTTTTTTCAGGGAAGACTTTTCAAAACTTTTTACACAGTATCACAAATATAAAACTTTTTAATAATCTCAACAAATTTCAAAATTTTATAACATAACTAATTTTTATTATTATAACTTGCATTTTAACATTGTCACACTTGTACTGAAATTGTGGTTTTTATTATTATTACATTTCTAATTTTCTTATTTTACAAACTTGAAGGCCTCACAGCTTTCTCCAAATACAAATGCTCTGTATGGTAAATCCACTTTAAGAAATTTATGTATTAATTCACCAGTGGTTAAAGGAATGTTAGGCAGTTACTTGTAAAGACCTCTCTCTGTTCCTAGTAAAGGCAACTGGTCTTTTTGAACTGCGCAAAACATACCGTAATATCCAAATAAATAAATAAAGAAAATAAATAATAAAAAATAAATAAGATGAAACCTCACTCCATTATATATTTAAAAAATAAAGAAAATGGTAATGATAATCAATCTTTGTTTTGTCTTCTAATTCTACATATGATGTGATTTATGATGAAATATTAAATCAGAAGAAGGATGAAGATTTAGTAATAGGGGCTGCAACTAACAAAGTAGTGGAAAAACTTTCAGAGGAAGACAAAAGTAAGTTTTATTTCCACGTTAGAAGCTACTTCTGCTGAGTATGTGATTACATACTAAATTTCTGATCAGCGCTGAAGTGATTTTATGTGATAAAATTGCAGATATTCTAAACAAATGCATCTTTTTCTGATCTAAGATATTTTTTAAATATATTGCCAGTTTTACTTCAGTTAGACATGAAAAACGATGATATTGATATTGCAACTGATGAATTGCAGTTGAAGTTTTGCAGTTTGCAATTAGAAAACTTGGATAAAGTTATAAAACCAGTTACGATTGACACCCAGTGGAGTTTAATTGGTAAACTGAAAGGTGGTAATGTAATTTTAAAGTATAGTGAATTGTCTAGAATAATGTTGGCCATCATGAGAATTCCTCATAGTAATACAGAGTGCAAGAAAATTTTCAGTGTTGTTGCATAAAGAAGGGCTAAATTTAGACCTATTGTTAGTAATGATACATCAAAAAATCTTTTATTAGCAAAAGCCAGCCTACATGGCAATTGCTGTCAATAAAATTGTGAAGTTGCTTTTTTAATGAAAGCAAAATCTGTCACTCTTTATAGCATTTGTATGAAAACTGATTTAAAATTAATTAAACATTAATTATTAATGAACTTGTGCAAAAACTGGTTTACAAAAACTGATTTAAAATTAATGAAAGTATTAGTTTTTTTCTTAAAAAATATAAATAATAAAACATTTTTTTTTACATGTAAATATTTTTGTACTGTTTGCATTTAAGAATTAGTAATTGAACTTTCAGGTATTAATTAGCAACTTTCTAAAGTTAATTTATTATTAAAAATATATTTTTTATAGTTTAAAAAATATGTTTTGTCGTTGAAAAAAAAATCTCCCGATTTTTGAGTGCCTTAGGTTCGCAAGTATGAACTAGTTATAAATGTAATAATTCTGTAGATGCCTCAGTGAGTTGTAATAAATTTAGGATGCATGGGATAGAAAACACCAATTATTTTTTATGATAAATGATCAATTATTTTTTATGAAAGGTGGCTGTTATACAAATGAATTAAAAGAAATACATTACAAATACATTAGAAGAAAACATTTGCAGGCAGCAGGTAATTTTTTTTTCCAGTGGCAGAGAATAAGGCAAGCATTATACAAACAGAACTCTGAACATATAACACAAAATGTCAATCTCATCATTTGCCCTCTAGCTCTCCAGTACCTCTTGCGGTGCAACCTGGAAACATTTCTGAAAGCAGTTAAAAGATCTACTACATTGGACTAGTTTGCGGGCTAGTACGAAGGGAGCAGCAATGATGAGTGGTTAGCACCAAGGAGAAAAGGCTGCACGTTAGTGCCAGTAACATTTATAAACTCTTTGTTTAAATTCTGGATCTGCAATTGGGTATGAGCTGTTGCGATGCAAGAGGATTATATAAGCAAGCACAGATATATTAATTAGGAAAGATGCAGTCCAGTAAAATTATTATAAACAATTTAGAACAGAAAGGGGAGATAGCCAAATTAAAATAGGGAGTAAAATAGACTATCGCCAAATTAAAATTAATAATTTTGAATTACATATTTTATATCTTACACACACATATATATAAATGCAGCTTACTTTATGGTTAACTCTTTATTTCTTATTTGAGTTGACTAATTATTATTGTTATTTATTAAAGCAGTATGCTTTCAGAAATAAGTTCTAAAATTAACTTAAAGTAAATTTAAAGGATCTTTGTTTTTATCCAAATGTTGTAGTAATATTGCAAGTAAAATAAAATTTTAGGAAAATATAAAATAAAACAGTGTATGTTAAAACACTCATAGATTTTAGCTGCACTGAAAAAGCTCTAAAAAATGTACTGCTTTTTATTGCTGCTAAAATTATAATTGACTTTTAATACCTAATTTTATTATTAAATAATTCTGTTAGCATCATTGATTTTTACTGAAAATTATTTATATTATGCATGGCAAATTTTATGTTTGAGCCGAAATATTTTATGTAGCAATGTGTAAAAAAGGGCATAGCCCATGTTATGATTCACCATTTCCTTTAATGTAATGCCATTTTGTAATTAGATTTTCTTTCTACAGCTTAAAGCAGAAATTTCCTAATGCTTTTCAAGATATTTGCTTGTATTCAGAAATATGCTTTTACATGGCTAACTACAATTTTCGACTATCGGCACGTAGATTTTTACAGGAGCTTTTTTTAGATGTAACATTTGAACAAGTGAGTTCTTCCTCTTTGATTCTTTTTTAAAATTTTTAAAGTGATAGTTTTCTTTTAATAAAGAAAATTCATATTAATTTCTTTATTGTGAAGTATTGCTACGATGTGCAGGAGAGCTTCAGTAGTGGATGTTTTAATCCATAAAATTAATAGCATTTGAAGAAAATTGCTTAGTTGTTCTTATTAAATCGGTTTAGCTGTAAAATACATAAGAATAGTTAATAAGAGTTATTTATTAAAGCATATATGCTAAATTCTACAAGAATAAAACTTTAGTACTCCATTACAGTTGTGGCTCTTAACTTGGGATACAGGGACTTTTGGGGGTGTGAGGAAGCATTTCCAGGTGGGCTACTGAAGCTTCTAAATTTTCGATGGAAACTACCACCTGGCCACCTATGGGAAACTAGTGAATGCTATGTCAATGTTTGAGATAAAGTTTATGATAAAATTATGGCGCAAAAGAGCTTTCTGACTGTTCTGAAATTGGTATCCTAAACGAATGCCCTTATCAGATCTATTCAAGCAAAATGAAATATAAATCTACCCCTCTACAAAAATTCAGTTCTCTTAACTTTAGTTTGAATAGGAGATTTTTTGCTAAACTTTTCAGAAAGAGTCGCATTCGGGAATTTTTTCAGGCAATACAGCTGACAACTATACTGGCAGTTCTGTCTCACATAGGAGAGGAACTAATCAGAGAGTGGTTCTGCTTCTTTATAGTGTACTTCTGAGAAGTTTTCCTTTGTGTTTCTGGGAGGAATATGTTCCTTGGAAAAGTCTTTTATCAAGTTTCTCATTGATAAGTCATACTGAGTCTCATTGACAAGATTAAACCCTTATCAACATAAAGTACACTCTATAAAATATCCATAAAAAGCAGTGCACTAAGAAGGATTTATCCGAATTGGACGAAATTGCGTATACCGATATCTTATGATAGAATATGGAAATGCTTAACTTTTGGCAGTCAGTGACTGACCAGCTTCAGGTCCAGTGCATTGTAATGAAGCATCCGAATGGTGTAGAAAACAGAGGATGTTTCAATACTAAGGCATTAACTTCCATGAAAATGTGGTTCCATCCACGGATGTGGACCAATGCCTCATAGGCGGATTCACAAACAGTATGAGCTGTTGTCACCATTTAAGATAGGCTGTGCAGTTGGACTGAAGCAGGGCGGTTAAATAGTTGACCACTTGACATTTTCGTCAGAACTATGCTACCATTCGACAATGTTGGCAGGAATAGATGAGACATGGACGTACAGAATGTCAAGAAGGGTTTTATAAATTGCATCTGGCAACAGAATAAAACTGGGATTTGTGTGATTATGTTTGAATGTGTTATTAAGTATGGTGATTAAGTTTTTTAAATTAAAATAAGTTATATATATATATATATATATATCATTTGGAATTATATATCTATATATATATAATTCCAAATGAGTGATTTTAGTATAGGTTTTTCTTTCCCTAGAAGCAATATAAGTGGCTTCTGTGATTGTGAAAGAACTGCAGTAGTTAGCATTGACAATTGGTTTCGATATGAATGTTCAGAAGGCTTCTGACACTTTGCAAATCTCTGCTGTAAGCATTGTTGAAAAACTGAAAGCAGAAAGATCTATTTTTGCATCATTTATTTAAAAGCTTGCAGCCAATATGTGGATCTTCTTTAACAGAATGAAATCCAAAGTAACACTCTCAACAGTCAAATATTTGATAAATCTGTTGCTTAGTTGTTGCTGTGAGCATTTGTTTAGTATTGATTCTGTTACATAATTTGATTGAGTTTTCTGATGCAGAATTTGATACATCTGTTTTATACTGAGCATAAAACAGGGTGCAATAATTATGCATGCACCATCTAGTGCTAATTTAAATCTGCCAAAATTATATTCAAATGAATACCATTTAATGATTGGAGTGCGTTCATGGGGACAATTTTTCCATATTCTTGATGATCCAGAGTTAAAGGAAGAGGATACATTTCAATATCTCCTAGCCTCCCTAAAACCACAAACTAAAAGCAGAAGATATAGGAGATGGTTACACACCTTGTAAAGAAAAATACAGAAAAGTTATTGATCATCCAAAGTCTAGATTTAGGAGAGACAACTTCCTTCTCAAAGTGTATGTTAGATTGACTTTAGCCACAAATTGGTCTTATGCTGAACTGAGTATATTTTATAATCAACTAAGTACACTGTGCCCCCCGAAAAAGGTACAGTTCTATATCTCCCGTTTTACTATGTCGATTGAAGAAATTCAAATTGTGTTTTTCATGTCTCGAAAGCGCGACATATGATATATATTAGATTTATATATAGCACTATTCTAACATACGTATTTTGACACAAAATCGGACTTTTTCTGAAATAACATACCATTTTTTCAACATATTTCGATTCTATGACTCAAATTATGCTAGTCTACCAAGTTTTATAAAAATCGCACTAGTAGTTTTTAAAAAATTAGCTCTCAAAATTGTACCTCCTCAATGTTAATTGAATTTGGTACATATTTATTAATACCTCATTTTTTATTAAATGTTTTTGATTCTTCCTTTCACATTTCGAAATTTATATTCATTCCAATAAAATTCACCCATTCTTTATGATTTATTTTTAAAATTTGTATTTTTAAATAATTTTTATAAATTTTTCAAAAAAATTTTTGAATTATAACCTATAAGATTTTTACCATCATCTTAAAGTAGATGTATATCTAAGCATATCTGCAAAAAATTAGACTTTTTTATTCAAAATTTGTTAAGATGTACACAAATTTACATATTTGCTCGTTTTGAAATTTGGCATCTTTTTTTAGCAATAATAACGCCAAATGTGGTTTATGGATTTTGTTACACTGAATTGCCACAGCTATTTTTAACTTTAAATTTCAATAAATTTTGATGGAGAATTAATTATATGAAATATTTTCCCTCAATGATGTGTAATAAATATTTATTAATACTGTATGAAAATCTATTTTTTTTTAAATTATAAATGAAAATTTATTTTAAATTTAAATTATAGATGATACAGTCAAAAGTCGTTAATCCGGACTCGTCAGGACTTCGGCGATTCCGGATTATAGATCATTAGTTTAAATCTGGTACGATGGCATGCAGAAATTATAAAATTAAAAATATGAAACCGTAATTTATGAAATAAAGAACAATTATGATCTAAAGGGTATTAAAATTTACAAAAAGGAAAAGCTTAATATTTATTTGCTTACTTTATTAAACATTTCTTTCAATGTAAGTTGTTTAAGTTGCTTCGTTTCATGTGATAATACTTTCTTTTTAATTCTATTTAAACAGACATAATTTCTTGTTTAGTTACAAAGTTGCGCTGTTCAAGTCCTATAATTGCTGTGTTGAGAATACTGACTAATTTGTCAATCGAAATTTTTTCGTTTTCAATAACCTCTGTGTCACTTTCTTCACTATCGGAAGCGAATTATAATGATGAGGAATTTGATATAAATCATATCAAAGGAGTACATCGAGATGAAATACTACATTTAGTAAGGAATTATAAGCCAAATAAAATAAAAAATCTGCCCTGAAGATAAGGATAGTGCTGACAGATCAACTTCCAATTCATTGCGCGCCGCAACGTCCCCCCCCCACCTGCTGCAGAGCAGCGTGAAATTGATAAACAGATTTCGGAATGGTTAGAGAAACGAAGGATATGCCTTTATCTATTTTTTGCAGCAATTCTACTTTTTGTTTGATGGACATGGAAATATACTTTCGCTTTGCAGATCCTTTGGGAGCTCCAGCATCGGAAATTCTATTTGACATAATCGAAAGTTCAAGCTTACTTTTATAAAATTGCTCTAACAGTCTGCAAAAAATAATAAGCCAGATCCAATTCGAAGGAACAATGCAATCTGCAACATTAACTGAAATAGATAATTAGATAATTTTAGCTTATACCGTTCGTTATACATTAAATTCGCATGTGTAAAAGTAATATGCACATGCGCAGCCGTAAATGTCTTACTCGCATGCGTAATGCCTATGCGCATGCGTCAAAGCGACGCATGCGCAGAAAGTTTGTAACTTTGAGGTCCAGATTATAGATCATTCCGGATTATGGGTGTCCGAATTAATGACTTTTGACTGTATTATTCAAATTTTTAAGTTTTTAAAAAATTTCTTTCTTTCTTCCTTTTTTAAAAAATATTTGTAAGAGTAAATTTTTACCTTACAAATATTGGCCGTGTTATCGTCTGCTACTTTACTTCATATAAATTGAACTGTCTAAAACTGAGAATGTTCGTTTGATGTTTATTTTCACAATATTTTTAAGCAAACAGGATGTTGACAGTTTGGATCGTGTCTCAGCTTTAAAAATATATATATATATATATATAACTATAAATTTTTACATTATTACTCTTAGAAGGAATGTTTTAAGTAGTAATTTTCTCTCATGTCATAGATTATATAAAAATCATGTTCTTTAATATAGAAATTATTAGGCTTAAAAACTCTAAATAATATGTTTTAAATTGTTTCCACTCGATATAAGAATTGGGTCACTCTGTGATACAGGATAAGCACTGCTGGAGTGGTTTATTTCTTCCTCATTTAACAAAAATCTTTTAATTCAAATATTTATTCTTTTGACTTTGCTTTATAGTTAAAATGTCTAGAAAATGAAAAGCTGTCTTCAGCTGAAACGCATTTGATGCAGCTGATATTAAAAAAAATTTGACAAGAATGCAAAATTTATGAAAGTGTAACAACCGAAAAATCTTAATTTTTTTGTGTTACCACTGGAAAGAAGGAAATTAGGGGGGGAAAAGCAAAAATTTAAAATGGAATCTACTTTAAGGAAGCTGGGTGTTCAAAGAGAAAATACTTGGATGTGTACACCAGCAAATAGCAGCAATTGAGTTTGTGCTAACGGAAAAGACAAAAACAATATGATTGCAGATTAAAGTGAAGAGTGACTGGTTTTTGGCTATATGGTTGCATAA